GTGCCCCATCATTGGTGTCAGTGGAAAGAACCGTGCCCCATCATTGGTGTCAGTGGAAAGAACCGTGCCCCATCATTGGTGTCAGTGGAAAGAACCGTGCCCCATCATTGGTGTCAGTGGAAAGAACCGTGCCCCATCATTGGTGTCAGTGGAAAGAACCGTGCCCCATCATTGGTGTCAGTGGAAAGAACCGTGCCCCATCATTGGTGTCAGTGGAAAGAACCGTGCCCCATCATTGGTGTCAGTGGAAAGAACCGTGCCCCATCATTGGTGTCAGTGGAAAGAACCGTGCCCCATCATTGGTGTCAGTGGAAAGAACCGTGCCCCATCATTGGTGTCAGTGGAAAGAACCGTGCCCCATCATTGGTGTCAGTGGAAAGAACCGTGCCCCATCATTGGTGTCAGTGGAAAGAAACCGTGCCCCATCATTGGTGTCAGTGGAAAGAACCGTGCCCCATCATTGGTGTCAGTGGGAGGAATAGTGCCCCATCATTGGTGTCAGTGGGAAGAATCGTGCCCCATCATTGGTGTCAGTGGGAAGAATCGTGCCCCATCATTGGTGTCAGTAGGAGAGAATAGTGCCCCATCGTTGGTGTCAGTGGGAGGAATAGTGCCCCATTGTTGGTGTCAGCGGGGGGAGGAATAGTGCCCCATCGGTGGTGTCAGTGTGGGGGGGGGGGGGGGGGGAATAGTGCCCCATGTCATTGGTGTCAGTGGAAGAAGGGGATAGTGTCCCAACATTGGTGTCAGTGGGAGGAATAGTGTCCATCATTGGTGTCAGTGGGAGGAATAGTGTCCCATCATTGGTGTCAGTGGGAGGAATAGTGTCCCATCATTGTGTCAGTGGGAGGAATAGTGTCCCATCATTGGTGTCAGTGGGAAGAATAGTGCCCCATCTTTGGTGTCAGTGGGAGGAATAGTACGTCATCATTGGTGTCAGTGGGAGGAATAGTACATCATTGGTGTCAGTGGGGGGGAATAGTGCCCCGTCATTGGTGTCAGTGGGGGGGGATAGTACCCCATCGTTGGTGTCAGTGGGGGAAGGAATAGTGTTCCATCGTTGGTGTCAGTGGGGGGGGAGGAATAGTGCCCCATCGTTGGTGTCAGTGGGGGGGAGGAATAGTGCCCCATCGTTGGTGTCAGTGGGGGGGGAGGAATAGTGCCCCATCGTTGGTGTCAGTGGGGGGGGAGGAAATAGTGCCCCATCGTTGGTGTCAGTGGGGGGGGAGGAATAGTGCCCCATCGTTGGTGTCAGTGGGGGGGGAGGAATAGTGCCCCATCGTTGGTGTCAGTGGGGGGGGAGGAATAGTGCCCCATCGTTGGTGTCAGTGGGGGGGGAGGAATAGTGCCCCATCGTTGGTGTCAGTGGGGGGGGAGGAATAGTGCCCCATCGTTGGTGTCAGTGGGGGGGGGAGGAATAGTGCCCCATCGTTGGTGTCAGTGGGGGGGGGAGGAATAGTGCCCCATCGTTGGTGTCAGTGGGGGGGGAGGAATAGTGCCCCATCGTTGGTGTCAGTGGGGGGGAGGAATAGTGCCCCATCGTTGGTGTCAGTGGGGGGGGAGGAATAGTGCCCCATCGTTGGTGTCAGTGGGGGGGGAGGAATAGTGCCCCATCGTTGGTGTCAGTGGGGGGGAGGAATAGTGCCCCATCGTTGGTCTCAGTGGGGGGGAGGAATAGTGCCCCATCGTTGGTGTCAGTGGGGGGGAGGAATAGTGCCCCATCGTTGGTGTCAGTGGGGGGGAGGAATAGTGCCCCATCGTTGGTGTCAGTGGGGGGGAGGAATAGTGCCCCATCGTTGGTGTCAGTGGGGGGGAGGAATAGTGCCCCATCGTTGGTGTCAGTGGGGGGGAGGAATAGTGCCCCATCGTTGGTGTCAGTGGGGGGGAAGAATAGTGCCCCATCGTTGGTGTCAGTGGGGGGGAGGAATAGTGCCCCATCGTTGGTGTCAGTGGGGGGGAGGATAGTGCCCCATCGTTGGTGTCAGTGGGGGGGAGGAATAGTGCCCCATCGTTGGTGTCAGTGGGGGGGAGGAATAGTGCCCCATCGTTGGTGTCAGTGGGGGGGAAGAATAGTGCCCCATCGTTGGTGTCAGTGGGGGGAGGAATAGTGCCCCATCATTGGTGTCAGTGGGAGGAATAATGCCCCATCATTAGTATCAGTGACACCAATGATGGGGCACTATTCCTCTCACTGACACCAATGACACTTGTCAATGACACCTGTTCCAGCATGGTGCTGCTGCAGCCAGTATACCTGGTTGCAGCAGCACCATCTGCACGGCACACTTACCCGTCAGCTGTCCTTCACTCTGGCCTCTCCCTCACTCGATGTTCACGGGGCCGCTCGGCTCCGCCTCCTCGCAGGTGATTGGCTGCCTGTGTGCCTTTCCTGAGCTGGCGCCCAATCACCGGTGAGGAGGCGGAGCCAAGCGGCAGCGCAAACATCAACTGAGGTAGTGGCCGGAGTGAATGAAAAAGCAGCACTTCCTGGACTGGATCGTTGTGGGACTGGGACACGGAGCCAGGTAAGATACAGCAGCCCCCTGCCTGTCCCTGTACTTAGTGTCCCTTCCTCGCGGCAAATACGCCCCTGCCGACGGGCCGGAGAAATGTCCTCGGCGGGCCGCAGTTTGAGGACCCCTCCCTTGTAATAATATAAAATCTCTGGTGGATGGGATTATTGATAAAACTCTTGCAATGGTAAGGTGATTGACAAAAGTTTTTCCTCCCTTTATATGTGGATAGGTTTCCCAGGAGGCAATGTCTAAAGACTTTCAACTCATACTTAGCATAAAACCAAACTCACTACATCCATCAAGTGCAACAGTGACATCTGCTGGCCACATTGCATCATACCAGTGCTAAACCTGAAACCTCTCCCTCCTAGTGAAACTTTACCGGCACTGCAGGGGTCACCTTCTTTCGTCTAGGAGACAGTAAAAGCAATTTTAACTACTCAATCCACTGCTCCTCTGGAAAGTGGTGTATCCCCCCTCCCCATACTCTGGCACTGGACTTTGGATGGGGAATAAGAGGCTGCAGGGACTGGTCTAGAAGAATGGAAGAGCCTGCAGGAGTGGAGGAGCAGGTAAGTAAATCTACTTTTCCAAATCCCCTAGAAAGAAATGAGCAGATAGCACTTGAATGCGGGCACAGCAGCACTACATAAGGAAAATGTTTACGTTTTCTGGAGTTTAGCTTTCAGATGGTGCTGATGGTTCCGATGCTCCTCTAATTCAACACTGCTGCAAAAGGTGGTCTAGTAACTACTGTATATCCACTAAAAGACCTATGACAGCACCAGATTTGGATTGTGGGAATAGCCCATGATACGGTTTACTAGACTGTATCCTCAATTCATTATTTGCCCTAAAAATACTGAAAGCCAATTAAAAGCCAAAAATAAAGATAAATATACAAAGTATATTTTTTGAATTAGAATTATACACAAGAAATTTGGATGGAACTTTTACAGAACAAATGTGGGGTACACGATCCCTAAATTTAACCCTAGACAGCATGGGGTGAAAGAAGCAAGGAGACTCCACTGATCTTCTGAAAGAAGAAATACTGCCATAAATTGTAAGTTTACAGAGAAAAAGAATTAAAGTGTTTTCAATCCTTATGCTGCTAGCATTAGTAAATAGATAGGAAAGTAGATCATGTAATCAAAATACAAGCATATCAAACTTTAGGCTTTAAATATGTACTACAAATAGTTACAGTATATATTTTTCCTATGTTTTAATGCTTTAGAAGAAAAATAATGCTACACAGAGCTCTGGGAGTGTAGAGGGAAAAAAAAAATCCTATCTCCAACAATATTCACAATGGTGAAAGTTCTGGGGGGTAAAACATGTCAGGAGAGACTGCATGAACTTACTATGTACTGTCTTGAAGAAAGGGGGGGACAGGACTGAAACCTTTACATACATTATGGGTTTGGGTGTGAGTATTCAGAAGGCAGTAGTATCAAAATAAAGCCAAAATCAAGAACAGAGAAACATGACCTCAAACGATTAAGAGGAAAGATCAAAACTAAACTTAGAGTTAGCTTTCCTTTCCAAGACAGCACCATCTTTAAAAATGATCCAAGGTGAGTTTCAACTTCCCGGAATAAAATGCTGATTCAGAGTTGGCAAAACCATGTAAATCCAGGTGCCAGTGCATTTCTTAGCTGTGTTCACAAATATTTGTCACAGATAAGCAATTGCTTAACTTCCCAAAAAATTTCACTGTTGTAGTCTATTTTTTAACTGGGAACGAGTAAACAAAACAAAAGCATTCTTTTGTCAGTTTTGAAGTCCCTGGTCCCCGCATTCCACTGGTAACCTACAGTGAACTGAATGTTGGCAGGGAGAATCAGTATAAGCTGAATGGGACCAAAGATCAACAGTGTCGGAAATGCTGGTTTCCCTGCGGACCTTGAGATGATTTAGGACTAGAGCGAGACAGCATATCTTCTTCTTTATGCAAGATTAAAGTGGTTCTCAAGACAAAAAGGTGTTTTACCTTAATGTATTTTATGTAGCAAGTCCAAAACCTTCTGGGTGCAACTCCCCCCTCATATGTATCTGAGCCTCCTCTTGATCCAGTGATGTCTATGATAGCCACAGCTTTCCAGAGTCTCTCTCTCCTCAATGGCTCACACAGCAGCAATCACAGACAGTGAGCCAATGAGAGAGCGGTGGGCAGGGCCAAGCGATGCTCTGGGTGTGAATGGACAATGTCCATTCACAGAAGCGTGGCTTGGGAGAGAGCCTGCTCGAGTGCCCCCATAGAAAGAGGCTTGCTATTGGGGGCACCAGCTGGAGGGAGGTGCCAGGACTGCTGGCAGGGGACCCAGAAAGAAGCGGATCGCGGCTGCCCTGAGCAAAACCACTGCACAGAGCAGGCAAGTATACTAGGTTTTTTTTTTTTTTTTTTAAATTACAACCCTTAGAATCACTTAATTATGTATCCATCAAGCACTGAATGGCACTTTCCATGGAGCAGCTTACCTGATGCTCTTTAGCTTTGACTCTACCTCATCAGCATACATGGTCATCTTCATGCTTTTTTTCGGAGAGGGTGTAGAAATCATTTTCAGCTCTAAGTCATAGTCCATTTCATCAGAGTCTGAAGCGCTGGCTGCAGAGCGCCGTGCCCCCTCCCTCTCTCTTTTAAAGGCTTGCAGTTCATCTCTGTATTCCACCACTACACGGTCATCCTCATCCATATCCTCTTCCTCCTCCTCTTCTTCTATTGGCTCCTCTGGAACATTCACCAGGCCTACATATCAGGCAAATATTCAACTCATCAGCAAACCACAGAGGCCAATGGCCCCTCACTCTTATAACACTCCCAACTAAATTACCAGATTCTAAAAGGGTAAAGCCCAATTTCAGCCACTGCTTTTTTGTCTTTTGGAAAGAGTGAGAATTAAGCCACATTCAGACAGTTGAAAAAGTGCAACTAGACGACGCCTCTGGACACCCCATGCTATGATCACATACAAACTGGTTGCTTACCTGCAACCAGTTAGTGTGTGGCTAAGACTCAACAGAAACCCCAATCCTGACCGGAAGCAGTTTCATGCTAAGGGCAGGGGTGCCTGCCATTGAATTTTTACAAACCTCGAGCCCGCCCCTGGCTGCACATATTTGGCCATCTGAACATAGCCTTAGAAGTGAAGAAGGCCAGTACTCCATGTAAGTTATAGCTATTCAACTGTCAACTGCAATCTCTGTTGGACGGCACGATGGTCCTCTTTGTCCAAGTGGGGAGAACCTGTGTGCCCCAGAAACCTACATAGGTGATTGGTGTTTGCAGTAAAAAAAAAAAAATGAGAGCTTACATAGAGTGCTGGCCTTTCTTCATGCCAAGTCCCTAGAAGCATCACCACCATACATGCACCCCTGAAGTTTGGAGGCAAGAGGTTCCTCACAAGTCCGCCTTTGTCACAGGGGCTTGACTGTGTAGTTTGAAATTGAAGACTAAACAAGACAACACACATAATACTTTTAATAAACGTGTTTTTACACACCTCAAACAGCCATACTCCAATTTTTTTTTCTAAGTTATCCTTTTTATTGCATGAATCTGTCTGTAACTGGGATTCAATTAATGGAGTTTTCACACAATTAGGCAACCCAATTATATCTGGACAAGTGACTAGGCTTCTAATCTGCTACTGAGAGATGAAGACACCATCTAAAATCTTGATGCACAGGTATGCAAATTCTAACAACAAACTTGTCTTATTTACTCCATTTTGGTTTGTTAAATATACCATTGAAACCATTTTGTTATATTTGTTTTATAACTGAAGAAAACCTGATATTTACAGGAATTCAACGCTGTCTGTGTTGTCTCAAAGTCTACTTAGACCTCCTTTGTACTACAACTTATTTAGTACCTATGCTTTTGAAATGAAGGGGATGGATTGAGTCATTTAGAAAGAGAAAAGTTGGCAGGGCTGACACCACTCAGTCCTCAAAAATGCTGTGAGTTGAAGAGCTGAGTGCATTCCTGGCAGACCAGCAGGTAAATTTCTATACTTGCAGGGTCTTATTTACTGATATTTTTTTCTGCTTTGATATACACTTAATTCTAATTTCACAATATATTTGGAGTGGCCGAAGCTATGCTGTCCTCAATGAAACTAATCTGTTATTTATCATGTTAAAAGTACTTCCAGAAAAAAACAATGCATGTATCCCCACCAAAACCTATTTTTGCAGTTTTTGTGTAAAGACTTTGAACCCCTGGAGAGGTTAACCCTTTTTTTCAGGTGACCATTGACACAGAGACAGAAACTTGATGGAAAAATAAATTACAGCTCCATCAAAACATATGCTGAGGGTTACGGTGTTCCAATGAAGACACCTGTCTGAAAGGGAATTTCCTCTCACCTCCTCCTGTGCCTCCTAGACAGGAAGTGAAGAGGCAAGGGAGAATGTCACCAGCACACTGAGGATCACCAATATGGGTCCAAAAGTTTTAAATGAACGATCACATAGTTACAGCAAGGCACCGTTTGGGAGTCTCGCAGGACCCCTTCATCAAGCATGTGATATCACATGCCTGATGAAGGGCTCCTGTGAGACTCCGAAACGTTGCCTTGCTGTAACTATGTGATCGTTCATTTAAAACTTTTGGACCCATATTGGTGATCCTCAGTGTGCTGGTGACATTCTCCCTTGCTGATTCTGTTTAATTTCAGGCGATGGTCACTGCAACACCCACTTTATACACAGACATTTTTAAAGCAGGAACGTGTGCATTTGAATTGTACACTTGCATTCAGGAAGTGAAGAGAATCGCCCTACCACAGTACAGACAGCAGAAAATAAATAAAACAAACAAACTGACAGAATTCTTTTTTTTTCTCTTATTTTAAGCCTAACTCCATGTTTACTTTTAATTTAAATAGTTCGTGGCCCAAGCGAACCATTTCCAAATACTATATGCAGCATCAGCAAAATAGAGTATGACGTGCTGTGGTCCAGCAGTAATACAGGGTCTTCCAGTCTATTGCCAGAGCAACATTGAGTTGGGCTGAGCGCTGCCATTGAAGGAAAGCCTTGTATTTTATCAATTAATACAAGGCTTCCTCTGATAGGCTGAGAGTGAGACTGTGACATTAGCTGCCTGCCTCTTTGCCTCATACAAAGGAAGCCTTGGATTCAATGATAACCCCATCCCCATATCGCTGATGGAACACAATGCTGCATACTAGCTGATGCTACATACAATTTATACAGTGCTGACGCATCTATCGTTTGGGCCACTGAAAGTACAACTGGAGTTAGGATGTAACTACCCTAGCTTTTAACTATACATACATGTAAAATGAAGAAAAAACAAAAACAGTGGCAAGAACTAAATGGTGCACAATGTTAGCTCCACTCTGTTCGGTCCAAGTGGACAGGAGCATAGCAAGTCCATTATATAAATATGATTTACCACCAAGTCTTCAGTTCTGCACCATACACTTCTGCATTTGGACCACCTGTTGTGACAAATTCTATAGCGTCTAAAGTAGACCATTAGATCAGACAAGTACAAGAGAAAGGGAGCTGCATGATGGCCAAACCCAGAAAAGTACAGGACAGAAGTATTTGTAAAACGGTGGCACACGAGTGAGATTTACAGATGGGACTCTGTTTAGCTCCTCTCACTTAGACCCAGTGAGTGGGTTTCCCTTTAAGTTGAGGACTGATTTTTCTTTTTTCCATTCCTGGCTACAGCAAATGTCAGTTCTGCTGTTACCTGAATGAAGGTGCTGGTATGCGGGAGCATCATCTCCAATAAGTGTCCTTTTCTTCATGACATCTCGCTGGACACGGCGAGAATTGTACCTTCTCTTCCTGTTCAAAAATTGAAGAGGCCCATTAAAATCAAGACTACCCACTATTTTTAGTGGCTCCTTAACAAAATGTCTGAAAATCATTTAAAATAACTTCTCTATGACCAGTACTGGTAATCTGTATTTGTGCCTGAAACAGCTTGACTGGTGAAATGAAACAGAATAAAATTATTTACCAGGAATTGCTGAGGATTCCTTTCATGCCACCATAGTTTGGATTTCCGTACTTCATGTAGTACTGACTTCTCCGTGCCGCTCCAAGTTCTTTCTTGTCATCTAGTAAATCATAATTATACTTTATAAACAAATCCAGTAAGGGAGCGTTCACAGTTATTCAGAGACTGGCTTTTTCTGCACTAGAAAAAAGCCAATTTCTGCAATGGTTTTCTATGTGCCCTATTCACAATGGAAGGTATACAGCAGCTGGGTGGAAAAAATTAAGTCATTTTTACCGCACCTCTCTGTCACACCTTGTGTTTCTACACACCTAAGCTGGGCAACTGTGCCTTGTGCTGTAAAAACACAAGACACCGTCCCCTAAAGCCAGTCCAGCACAGTAAAATTGAATGGTTTCCTGTCCAGCTACAAGTGACCCAACGGCTTGCTGGGACATTTAGGGCCAATTCACAGTGACTTGCGCTAAAATGTATGGAAAATGTATGTGCGATTCCGTCCATTTTAGTTGCACGCTGACATTTGTTGACATACAGTTTGACATGCATTTTACTGCGCGTTAAAGCATACTGCATTTTCACAGGATATCCTATGTACTGCATTGACATCCACTTACATCCCTTGTGTTGTGCTAAAAATGTATAATGCATACATGTTGAATTTTAGCGCAACACAGTGCTATGGTGTGAATTGGACACATGGAAATTACTCTTTTTTTTTTTCCCCCCCAGATGTCCTTCCATTGATCTGTGTTTTACAGCTGTGCTAAAACACAGATCAAAACGCACTGGTGTGAACTGGCCCTTAGAATTGAAGATCTGTCAAACAATACATACTAGAACCCTAAATTCACTACTTGTGCGATGCCTGAGAAGGCCTCCATCTGGAATCAGCCCTAGAAAATACCTGATAACCTCGTGCAACACACATCTAAAAAAAAAAAAAGTCTGCTCAGAAAAGAAAGTAACAGTGCTTCTAATTAAAGGAGATCTATAGTCACAACATACACCTTCATTTTATACCATCAACATTGTAATAGTAATACAAAGAAGAGTTAATTTCTTTTGATGATACAGTATAAACTTACTTGAAAATCCCTTTTCATGTTTTGATTGCTTCCTGTCTGCTGGCTCTTTCTACAGCTTCCTGGATTCCCTGCATTCTTTGCAGCTTCTCCTCTGCTCATTCTTTTGGGTTACTTTATATTTCTATAGTCTACATATCCCAAGCAGTGATTCCTGTACTGACTCAGCCTCCTGAAAAACTCTTCCACACCACCGCTGTAGTTCGGATAGCAGGCTCTGTGAAATGTGTCACACAGCAGTGCATATCACAGGACATAGTGAATATGTGTCCCAGAATTCAGTGAAGTAAATGTGTGGGATTCTTCACAAGCTAAGTTTGCAAACTTCAAGACTGTTCAGATTAATAGGACTAGGCTAGAAATAATTGAAATACAATGTGAAAATGAATAAATAATTTTACACTTTGACCACAGATACACTAAGTTCTAAACCAGTGTTTCCTAAGCAGGGTTCTGTGGAAACCTAGGGTTCTCCCAGAAGTTGCTAGGGGTTCCTTAAAAAATGAGAAGTTTCTGCCTCTCAGATACGTTCTACTGACACAATTGTTCCTTTTAGCTATTCTTAAGGGGGTAATTCTTCCCAATAACCACAAGTGTAAGGAGCAATCTTCCCACTGACCATCACACTAATGTATCATACGTTGTACATCAAGTAATTTTTAGCAGAAGTTTCCTGAGATTGGAAAATTATTTCAAGGGTTCCTCCGTGTTTAAAAGAATGATAAAGGCTGTTCCACAGTGGAGTACCCCTAAAGCTGTGACATAATGATGATCCAGCACCAGACCAAGCAAGATCTAGCAGGGAAACAATTACTAAAGTGAGAGACCATAGCACAAAATGAGCTAATTTGCATGGTTGAGCTGCATATTTGTGCTCATTGATAGCACTTCATTGACAATTCCACTATAACCCTCGGGGGGGAGGGCGTAGGGATTGGTGTATTGCGGTCTGGGCTTGATAACCCGCCATCCCAAAGAATCAAACAGACTGCAATGCAGTAGTAGGGAGCAAGAGCCGCATAACCCGAAGTCTCCTCTGCAGCACTGGCTCCTGTCCCATGTGGAGTGATACCAACTGCACTCCACCTCTTATCCAGGCTAGTGGTCTTCAGAGTGGTGCCAGCAGCAGGAAAGAGGAGATCTTCAGGTCAGTGTGAAGCAATACACTGGACATATTAGTAAAGGGCTACTTTCACACTGATGTGCTGCTGTTTACCCACACCATGGCTGCAGAGTACCTGCAGCTTCTATTATATCCTGCAGGTTTGGTGCACTTTCTGAAAGCGCACCAAAACTCCTGCATTCAGGAGTTTTTAGTGCACTTTCCAAAAGTGCACCAAACCCACAGGATATAATAGAAGCTGCAGGTACACTGCACTGCACCCGTGGTGTGGGTAAACCTCAGCACATCAGTGTGAAAGTAGCCTTATAGTGGGGGGATCAGAAGAGTAAGGGTTCATGTACATTTGCAGCTTGGGGGTGGTAAAACCCCATAGTTAAGACATGTTTTTACCACTCCTGCCCCAACTGCACCCCCTTTAGCTGCAGTGGCCAGGGTGTACACGTGTCAAAGCCGCAGTAGGAGTTATACGCCCTGTCGTGGTTGGTGGGTGTACTACCTGCCAAGTATGACCCATTCCAGTGAATGAGGCCGCTCTGCAACCTTACGAAGTACAGCAAACAAGGTGTTAAAGCAGGCAGCGTTGTGTTGCTTTCTCACCACTTGCTTTAATCACTTGCAGAAGCATTCAGTTGTGGGGCTCTTGCAGAGTGGCGCCATTTTCTTGAATTGGTCGTGACTGGCAGGTGGTAGCACCCACCAAAAGCAACAGGGGGTTTAATTCCTACTGCAGCATGTGTACACCTTGGGCCGCTGCCTCAGCAGCTAAAAGGGACAAGGGATTGGAGGCAGTAAACCACGACTGTTTGACAGGTGGTGAGGCGGCAATATGCTGCCGCCTCACCACCCGATTTAAACCCATTATTGCTGTGTAATGCATGCAATTGCAACATGGTAATGCGGCAATTAGAGGCTTAAATTAATTGTGAGCAGGTGAAACAGTGCCCGGTGATCTTTGACTTCTCTCGTGTTGTTCAGGTAGATCTCTACCTCTAAGGTTGTCTATGCCTGGTTTACACACATACTGATAATCCCCAATCAGACTATAAATAGCCAGTTAGGGCAAATGTTCACAAGTCCTTGTATGCAACTTTAACGGGGTCTGTCTGTTCTCTGTGGAATACTGGAAAGTCATCATGATCAAGAATTACACTTCTGAACAGCCACTATGCACTTTAACATAATTAACACCTACAATTTCGCTGGCTGAAGACCAATGGACTGAGTTGCAAGTACAAAGTTCAACCTGAATCCAATAATGTAATGTGAATAGACCGAAAATGTTCAGGCTGGTTCTTAGGCAGCAAAAGACTAGTATTTATATAAAAGCAGCAGGTGTTTAAACAATTCTGAAAAGATATTTCAAAGACTAAGAATATCAAAGAAAACTGGCCATGAGAAAATTATGTAGGATAACATTGTAGACCACTCCTACTAAGAATCCCAATTAACTGCTTTGTTGTTGCTTGGCAAAAATAATGAAATCAACATTTTTGTCATTTCTAAAATTAATGCTTGTTCTGGGTTTGTGATTTAAAGATTTTATAGCCAAACCTAGCCATTTTCTGAATGTAACCAGCAATGGCAGCCACAGTTTTCCCTTATGACAGATGTAGATTGTCAGCTTCCGGCTCTTCAAAAAGTACAACAGCATCCATCTACTCTGAATTGTGGCTTACCCTGTGATTTTTGATGATCACTAAAAACAAGGAGATAGCATTGCTTACCTTGGGTAGCAAATCTCATCTGCAACTTGTTTCCCTTGAACAATTTCACAGAGGGACGAAGATCGTTTCTCATTAAAGACTCTTGTTCTGCTTGAGACAGAGTATCCATCTGAACAAAAAAAAAAAAAAAAAAAAGAAGAGAAGTGAAAACAAACAATTAAGAGACATTATTACAGAATCAAGACTAATGGCTCTTCCCTAACCATAATCAGACACCACAATACTGATTTAGAAAATAATTTGAGAATGTTCACACAATAAATATGCAAAGATCAACTTCAACATTCAACGATCAAACTGTGCAGACTTTTCACAATTAACCCTGGTTCACACTGAATTCAACTTTGAAATCGCGCTACTTTGCTTGAAGTAGTGCAATTTCAAATCTGCAGCTCAGTGTGATTTGTACCTCCGCTTTCGCTGTGAGCGGAACAGAAGTCAATGAAATCGGAAAAAAGTAGTGCAGGAACCATTTTTAAATAGCGCTACTTCAAATTGCACAAATTAAGACAGTGCCATAGAAATACATGAGATGCAACTTCAGGTATGATTTGTAAATCTCATGTCACACCTGAAGTCGCAGTGCTGTTAACCAGGGCTTAGATTATTGAATCTTCACTCATTTAACATTCTCAAATCTTTTTTGCCTGACAATAAAACTCTTGTTTGTAAGAATTACAAAACAAAACCCCCCAAAATAAGTGTACAATATAAAATGTTACATTGAAAATTTACCCTGTGCTGGTGGCAATGTGAAATGCTGGTGATTTCAAATGTACTATACTAAAGTTTTAAATCACATCAAAGATAGATCTACAACACCAATTCCCAAAAAGTTGAGATGTTGTGTAAAATCTACATAAAAAGCAGAATGCAATGATTTGTAAATCTCAAACTCATATTTTATTCACAATAGTAAATAGAAAACATGTAAAATGTTTAAAGTGAGAAAATGTACCATTTTAAGAAAAAAAGTAAGGCAATTATGAAACTGATGGCAGCAACATAAATCAAAAAAGTTGGGGCAGTGCAACAAAAATCTGGCAAAGTAAGTGGTACTTACGAACAAGTAAAAGCTTGAAGAAGATTTTGCCACTGATATGTGCTGTAGATGATATACAGTGGGTAAAATAATTATTGAACTTGTCACCATTTTTGTAGGTAAATATATTTCTAAAGGTGCTATTGACATGAAATTTTCACCACATAAAATCGGTAACAAGCCATGCAATTCATACATGCAAAGAAGCAAAAACAAATAAGTTCAGAAATTAAATTATGTGTAATAAAATCAAATGACACAGGGAAAAAGTATTGAATACTTTAACTGAAATTTATTTAATACTTCATACAAAATTTTTTGTTCGTAATGACCCCTTCAAGATGCCTTCTCTATGGAGAAACTAGTCGCATGCATTGCTCAGGTGTGATTTTGGCCAATTTCTCCACACAGTCTTCAAATCTTGACGGTTCTGTGAGCCTCTTCTATGAACTCTGATATTTAGTTCTTTCCATAGATTTTCTGTTGGATTCAAGTCAGGTGACTGGCTGGGCCATTCTAGCAGCTTTATGTTCTCTCTTTAAAACCAACTGAGAGTTTCCTTGGCTCTGTGTTTGGGATCATTGCCTTGCAGAAATGTCCACTCTCGTTTCATCTTCATCATCCTGACAGATGGCAGCAAATTTTTATCAAGAATGTCTTAGTACATTTTTCCATTCATCCTTCCTTTAATGAAAAAAAAAAAGTTTGCCAGTACCATATGCTGAAAAACAGCCCCACACTATGATATTCCCACCTTCAAACCTCACTGTTGGTATGGTGTTTTTGAAGTGATGTGCAGTGCCATTTGCCCTCCAAACATGGTGTGTAGTATGGCATCCAAAGAGTTCCATTTTGGTTTCATCTGGCCAGTCTATATTCTTCCAGTATTTCACAGGCTTGTCTACATGTTGTGCAGCAAACTTTAAACAAGCTTAAACATACTTTTTCTTCAGCAATGGAGTCTTGCATGGTGAGGGTGCATACAGGCCATGGCGGTTGAGTGTATTACCTATTGTTTTCGTTGAAACAATTGTAACTGCTAATTTCAGGTCTTTCTGAAGCTCTCAAGTGGTCCTTGGCTCTTGGACAACTCTTCTGATGATTCTTTTCACTTCTCTGTCAGAAATCTTCTGAGGAGCACTTGGTCATGGCTGGTTTATGGTGAAATGATGTTCTTTCCACTTCCAAATTATGGCCTCAACAGTGCTTACTGGAACATTCAGAAGTTTAGAAATCCTTCTCCGGATGGATAAAAAAAAAAGAAACCCTTCTCTAACCAATGCCATCAGTACGATGGTTGCAAAGGTCTTGAGAGAGCTCTTTGCTTTTACCCATCATGAGATGTTTCTTGTGTGATACCTTGGTATAGAAACACCATGCTTTTTTGCACCTCCCTTTCTTCATGTGTTCAATACTTTTTCCCTGTGTCATTCCATTTTATTACATATAACTTAATTTCTGAACTTATTTGTTTTGGTTTCTTTGCATGTATTGATTACCTGGGGTGTTACCAGCATGTGGCGAAAATTTCATATCAATAGCACCTTTAGAAATATTTTTACCTAGAAAAATGGGGACGTGTTCAATACTTATTTTACCCGCTGTATAGAGTCTTTGTAATTTTACACTGAGGAACATTGTTCTGAAATTGTTCTTCAATCTTAAGACGCAGCTTTTCACAGATTGGTGAACCACTGCCCATCTTTACTTCTGAAACACTGACTCTCTAAAAAGCTCTCTTTTTATACCCAATCATGTTACCGATCTGTTGCCAATTAACCTAATTAGTTGCAAAATGTTCTTTCAGATTAGTACCACTTACTCTGCCAGCTTTTTGCTACCTTGTCCCAACTTTTTTGGGACGTGCTGCTGCCAGCAATTTCAAAACTACCTTTTTTTTTTTTTTTGTTTTTTAAATGGTACATTTTTTCAGTTTAAACATTTGATATATGTTTTCTATTTACTATTGTGATAAAATATGAGTTTGAGATTTGCATATCATTGCATTCTGTTTTTATGTAGATTTTACACAGTGTCTCAACTTTTTTTTTCAGAATTGGGGCTGTAGATCTACAAATATCCCACCCCAAATTTACATTGTAAGCTCGATCCAAATGGTTGACCATAACTGTACACTCAACTCTTACCGTATTCAAGGTATTTTTGTTGGGCTCTTCCTCTGCATCACTAGGATTATCTTCATCCACCTCACCTTCTTCAGTTTCATCTCCAGAACTGTCATTAAACCTATCTAGAAGGAAAGCAGGAAAACATTCACAGACTGCTTGATACTACAGCAATATCAATATATTAGGCTGGCCATTTATAGCACAATTTGTCTTACAAAGAGTTACCCTGGAAGGTGATAATTCTGTGATGCAGATCTTTGGTCATGGTTGAAAATCTCAGCAAGTTACTTAAGGTTTGCCTCACGTTACCCAAAGAAAATGGCAGTAGTTCCTCAATACATAATGGCCAAAAAAGTGTCCTCTAGTTTTGAAGCAATGTCATTTTTAAAGTGGGCAGATTTTAAATTGCTTGTAGCAATCAATTAGAGAGCCATCCATTCTGGGAATGACCAATTGTGAAGTTTAAAGGGTCAGTCGACACAAAATCGATCAGCTTTCTCAGTTTTTAGGGAATGGTAAAGTCTAATGCCAAGGTTACTTTTACTTTAAATAGATTGTTTGGGCCAATCAGCACAGTATAAACTAAATGTATCATCAGCTACACACAGCACTGCGTCTTCTTATTGGCTGAGGTGGAGATATTTCTGTCATCTGCCCAGCCCACCAACCAGAGGAAGCTTTGTATTCACTGATAAAATGCCAGGCTTCCTATGAATGGCTGAACAGCACCCAGCCCGACTAGATTTTCTTTTTTTACGGCAGCAGGGGAGAAGTCCCCATGCCACCATCAGAAAACAGCACTGTATATTGTAAGTAGCTGATGCTCCATACAGGTTATACAGTGCTGACATAGCGGGTACATCTACTATTAAAGAAAATACACTGCCTTTACATGCACATGAACTTTAATGGCATCCCAGTCTTAGTCCGTAGAGTTCAATATTGAGTTGGCCCACCCTTTGCAGCTAAAACGGCTTCAACTCTTCTGGGAAGGCTGTCCACAAGGTTTAGGAGTGTGTCTATGGGAATGTTTGAGCATTCTTTCAGAAGCGCATTTGTGAGGTAAGGCACTGATGTCTGATGATAAGGCCTAGCTCGCAGTGTCCGCTAATTCATCCCAAAGGTGTTCTATCGGGTTGTGGTCATCCCCAAACTGTTCCCACAAAGTTAGGAGCATGAAATTGCCAAAGATGTCTTGGCATGCTGATGCCTTAAGAGTTCCCTTCGCTGGAACTAAGGGGCCAAGCCCAAAGCATGAAAAACAACCCCACACCATAATCTTCTCTCCACCAAACTTTACACTTGGCACAATGCAGTCAGGCAAGTACCGTTCTCCTGGCAACCCAGACACATCCATCGGATTGCAAAACAGAGAAGCGTGATTCCTCAATCTAGAGAACACATCACTGCTCTAGAGTCCAGTGGTGGTGTGCTTTACACCACGGCATCCAACGCTTTGCACTTGGTCAAGTAATGCAGCTGTTCGGCCAAGGAAACACATTCCATGAAGCTCTCTACGCACGGTTGTTGTGCTAATCTGAAGGTCACCCAAAGTTTGCAGGTCTTTAGCCATTGACTCTACAGACAGTTGGCAACTTCAGCATGCACTGACCGCACTCTGTCATTTTATGTGGCCTACCACTTCGTGGCTGAGCTGCTGAGGGTTCCCAGTTGCTTCCACTTTCTTATAATACCACCAATAGTTGACCGTGGAATATTTAGTAGCAAGGAAATTTCATAGATGGACTTCTTGCACAGGTGGCAACCTATTACAGTACCACACTTGAATTCACTGAGCTCCTGAGAGCCACCCATTCTTTCACAAATGTTTGTAGAAGCATTCTGCATGCCTAGGTGCTTAATTTTATACACCTGTGGCCATGGAGGTGATTGGAACACCTGAATCCAATGATGTGGAGGGGTGTCCCAATACTTTTGGCAATATATTGTAGCTCATTTAGGCTTGCTTGGCTAAAGCAAACTATTTAAAGTAAAAGTAGGCTTTATATCACCTACAGACAAGCAAAGTGCAGTAGAATACCTGGGTCCTGCAGACCAGTAGTGGCTATTACAAAAATTAAAGCATTTCATGGACAATTAAAAGAGAAGGAATGAGTTTCCTTCAGTAGTTATATGTTTATTCTCAGCATTTAAGAGTGTTGAAGACTGCATAAATTATTCAGTAAGTCATGTACTGAACAGGGTTACATACAGTCAGGTCCATAAATATTGGGACATCGACACAATTCTAACATTTTTGGCTCTATATACCACCACAATGGATTTGAAATGAAATGAACAAGATGTGCTTTAACTGCAGACTGTCGGCTTTAATGTGAGGGTATTTACATCCAAATCAGGTGAACGGTGTAGGAATTACAACAGTTTGCATATGTACCTCCCACTTGTTAAGGGACCAAATGTAATGGGACAATTGGCTTCTCAGCTGTTCCATGGCCAGGTGTGTGTTATTCCCTCATTATCCCAATCACAATGAGCAGATAAAAGGTCCAGAGTTCATTTCAAGTGTGCTATTTGCATTTGGAATCTGTTGCTGTCAACTCTCAAGATGAGATCCAAAGAGCTGTCACTATCAGTGAAGCAAGCCATCATTAGGCTGAAAAATAAAACAAACCCATCAGAGAGATAGCAAAAACATTAGGCGTGGCCAAAACAACTGTTTGGAACATTCTTAAAAAGAAGGAACGCACCGGTGAGCTCAGCAACACCAAAAGACCCGGAAGACCACGGAAAACAACTGTGGTGGATGAGCGAAGAATTCTTTCCCTGGTGAAGAAAACACCCTTCACTACAGTTGGCCAGACCAAGAACACTCTCCAGGAGGTAGGTGTATGTGTGTCAAAGTCAATAATCAAGAGAAGACTTCACCAGAGTGAATACAGAGGGTTCACTACAAGATAGAAACCATTGGTGAGCCTCAAAAACAGGAAGGCCAGATTAGAGTTTGCCAAACGACATCTAAAAAAGCCTTCACAGTTCTGAAACAACATCCTATGGACAGATGAAACCAAGATCAACTTGTACCAGAGTGATGGGAAGAGAAGAGTATGGAGAAGGAAAGGAACTGCTCATGATCCTAAGCATACCACCTCATCAGTGAAGCATGGTGGTGGTAGTGTCATGGCGTGGGCATGTATGGCTGCCAATGGAACTGGTTCTCTTGTATTTATTGATGATGTGACTGCTGACAAAAGCAGCAGGATGAATTCTGAAATGTTTCGGGAATATTATCTGCTTATATTCAACCAAATGTTTCAGAACTCATTGGACGCCGCTTCACAGTGCAGATGGACAATGACCCAAAGCAAACTGCAAAAGCAACCAAAGAGTTTTTTAAGGGAAAGAAGAGGAATGTTATGCAATGGCCAAGTCAATCACCTGACCTGAATCCGATTGAGCATGCAGTTCACTTGCTGAAGACAAAACTGAAGGGAAAATGCCCCAAGAACAAGCAGGAACTGAAGACAGTTGCAGTAGAGGCCTGGCAGAGCATCACCAGGGATGAAACCCAGCGTCTGGTGATGTTTATGCATTCCAGACTTCAGGCTGTAATTGACTGCAAAGGATTTGCATCCAAGTATTAAAAAGTGAAAGTTTGATTTATGATTATTATTCTGTCCCATTACTTTTGGTCCTAACAAGTGGGAGGCACATATGCAAACTATTGTAATTCCTATACCATTCACCTGATTTGGATGTAAATACCCTCAAATTAAAGCTGACAGTCTGCAGTTAAAGCACATCTTGTTCATTTCATTTCAAATCCATTGTGTTGTGTATAGAGCCAAAAATGTTAGAATTGTGTCGATGTCCCAATATTTATGGACCTGACTGTAGTAGTTGTGTTCACATTTTAGATGATATCCTAGTAACCTAATCATCTGTGTCTTGAGCATCATGACAGAAAGCTGACATCAACATTAATCAAAGAACTGTATTATAATGAATGTGAAGTACAAAAATCGGAGCGCAGATTAACCGTTTCCTGATGACCGTTGCGATCGAGGGAGAAGGGCCTTAGCCAGGGAGGTAACCAAGCACCCAATGGTCACTCTGAAAGAGCTCCAGCGATTCTCTGTGGAGAGAGGAGAACCTTCCAGAAGAACAACCATCCCTAAAGCACTCCACCAATCAGGCCTGTATGGTAGAGTGGCCAGACGGATGCCACTCCCTCAGTAAAAGACAAATGGCAGCCCGCATGGAGTTTGCCAAAGGCACCTGAGGGACTCACAGACCATGAGAAACAAAAACCTCTGGTCTGATGAAACAAAGATTGAACTCTTTGGTCTTAATGCCAAGCGTCATGTTTGGAGGAAACCAGACACCACTCACCACCTGGCCAATACCATCCCTACAGTGAAGCATGGTGGTGGCAGCATCATGCAGTGGGGATATTTTTCAGCGACAGGAACTGGGAGACTAGTCAGGATCGAAGGAAAGATGAATGCAGCATTGTATAGACATCCTTGATGAAAACCTGTCCAGAACGCTCTGGACCTTAGACTGGGGCGACTGTTCATCTTTCAACAGGACAACAGCCCTAAGCACACAGCCCACATAACAAAGGAGTGGCTACGGGCCAACTCTGTGAATGTCCTGCAGTGGCCCAGCCAAAGGCCAGACTTGAACCCGACTGAACATCTTTGAAGAGATCTAAAAATGGCTGTGCACCGAAGCTCCCCATCCAACCTGATGGAGCTTGAGAGGTACTGCAAAGAAGAATGGGAGAAATTGCCCAAAACAACTTGAGGCTGTAATTGGTGATAAAGATTCTTCAACAAAGTATTGAGCAAAAGCTGTGAATACTTTTGCACGTGTTTTTTTTTTTTTTTCGCTTTATTTTTAATAAATTGCAAAATTTCAAACCAAACTTCTTTCACGTTGCCATTAAGGGGTATTGTTTGTAAAATGTTGAGGAAAAAAATTAATTTAATCCATTTTGGAATAAGGCTGTAACATAACAAAATGTGGCAAAAGTTAAGTGCTGTGAATACTTTCTGGATGCACTGTATGCACATATGTCTGTGTTGGGAGTGTGCTGCACAGCACGCTCTCTCACCGGGAGCCCCGGGTCACCTGATTACTGTGATAGCCTCTGATTGGCTATCAGTAATCAGTCACTGTGCAGCATGGCCGTTTTTTTTTCCTCTCTGAATGGACAGATACACTGTAAATAAACAAGTAAAAATAAATAAATAAAAATAAGGGCCAGGGTTAGTGTTTGCTCATGTAAGGGTCAAAAGGTCAATGTCCAGGTTAAAGGTCATGGTCAGTAGATTTTTGGGCAGGATTTTTTTTTTTTAAGAGCATTTTTAAAAATCAGTTTAAGCTAGTGTCAGTACGTTTTAAAGCAAATTCAGGTACCCGCGTTTGACCCACTTCCACTTCACATGACAAGTCCCAGAAGACTATGGGACCATTCACAAAGCGCAATGCTACTCGCACATGTGCGGTGGACATCCAGCTGTGAATCCGCAAGCTGTCACAGCCAGGTGCCCACACTGAAGGTGCCGGCGCCAAGGACATTTTTTTTTTTTTTTTGACTGGACCTCCACTTTAAGGAACAATGCGATCGCAGCAGAAGTGGGAGCAGGTACCTGTCAAACTCAGGTACCCACTCCCTCCCTCCCCCCCCCCCCCCGCTACCCAAAGGTGCCAATCCTTAAGGGGGAGTGGGGGACAATGCACTGAAGTGGAACTTCCCCTTTTGCATGGAGCTCTGCTTTAATGTTCACATTTGATTTAATATAATGGGGTAAATATAACAGTAAGATGCTCTATTCCATCAGGAAAAAAAAAAGTATACAGTTTTTGATGACTTGAAGTAAACTTTTTACCTGCTTTGGATTTGGTGGAGGTGCTTTCTTCATCTTTTTTACTCTTCGTATCTACTGGCATAGTGGTCATATTTAGCAGTGCGCGAGCTGCAGTCACTTCATCCAGCCAGACAACATTACCTACAAGAAAGATATTTTCTCAAAAGGAATACATTTGCAACAATAGCAAGCTTATGTTACACAGTCTGAATGCAGGAAAAAGTAAAGCACTCTGCCTGAAACTGTTCCACAGCTTGCTTTATACTTTTGTTTCACCATTCGCAGTAAACACAAGTGAAAGTCACTAATCCACCCCCAAAAGTTCCCATTTAATTTAACTGCATTTGGCTTAAAACGAATAGTCAGTCGTAAGATTTTCTTGTAGTAAAACTTCAGGTCATAAATTTAGGGCAAAATGTATTCTGCTACATGTCTTTGGTAAAAAAAAAAAACAACAATACATGTATATTAATTGGTTTGTGTGAAAGTTATTGCGTCTACAAACTATGGTATATATATATTGGAATTTACACAGCTTTTACTTTCTGACTGCCTATCATTTCTTGAGGTGCTAAAATGCCAGGGCAGTACAACTCCCCCCCTCCCTTCAAATGACCCCTTTTTGGAAAGTAGACACCCCAAGGAATTTGCAGAGAGGCATGATGAGTCCATGGAACATTTTGATTTTTGCCACATTTTTTGAAAATGACAATTTTTTTTTTTTTTACACAAAGTTGTCACTTAAATGATATATTGCTCATGCATGCCATGGGTATAAGTGGAATAACACACCCCAAGACACATTCTGCTACTTCTCCTGAGTATGGGGATACCACATGTGAGAGACTTTTTGGTAGCCTAGCTACATACAGACCCCCAAAATCCAATGACCACCTCCAGGCTTTCAAAGGGCATATTTCCTCATATCACGTCCTCACTATCTTTTGGAGGCCCTAAAATGCCAGGATAGCACAAACTCCCGCCCAAATGACCCCTTTTTGGAAAGAAGACACCCCAAAGAATTTGATAAGAGGCATGGTGAGTATTTTATAGATATCATTTTTGTCACAGGGTTTTGAAAAATAAAAAATAAATTTTCGTTTTCTTTCTTCGTTTTCCAAAAACATGTGGTAACAAATTAATTCTGCAAAATACTCACCACCCTTCTTAGCAAATACCATGGAGTATCTACTTTCCAAAAATGGGTCATTTGGAGGTGGGGGGTGGGAATCTTCTACTATCCTGGCATTTCAGGGTCAACATTAGAAGCTTATGCCACATACCACCCGCTCTTGAAGACCAAGCCTTTTCTGACACTTTTTGTTCACATAAAAAAACAGTTTTTTTGCTAGAAAGATACTATGTACCCCCAAACATTATATCTTTTTTTTTTTTAAAGCAGAGGCCCTAGAGAATAAAATGGTGGGCGTTGAAAATGTTTAAGTCACACAGTATTTTCAAATCTTTGGGGAAAAATTTTAATGTACAAAAACACAATATATTGCCTGTTTGATACAGTATAAAAGATGATGTTACATTGAGTAAATGGATACCAATGTCCCATCACGCTGCATTTTAGAACAATCCAGCAGCTAATTGGGCACTATGATTGCCTGTACATGAAAGCAGAGCACCAGCTGAAAAAACGATACCAGGATGATGCCTGCAGCTGCATGCATAACCCGGTATAACCACTCCAACGTACCACTTCGATGTACCAGTACATTGCTGGTCCATGTTAGGCATATATGAAACAGCAGAGAACACAGGCATATGATGAATCGGGTCTGTGGACCAATATGACCGCAATTCATTCTTTTTTGTAATGCCCATGTTGAGGGTTAGACGCAAAAAAGTTTTAAATTCAGAAACCATGATAGGTTTCCATGAGAATTGTCTGGCAAAAGCTGAATTTTGGTGGGCGGCAATGTATTGTTGTGCGTATAAATTGCTTTGGCCCACAATCAATTGGTACAAATTTTCCATGAAAAACAGCGGAGGGACTAAACGCTAGTGCCGGCAGCAAACAGGGCTGATCCTGCCAGCACTGCATTTTTGGGGACACTATACAAAGGAGGCACTAGTATAGTTCTGTTCAAGATCATTATATTGATCCGTACAAACACTATACTTGTAATTTGTACCTATAGCGTGAGTGTGATACTGTGCGGGCAATCTAATGCTAGCTGACCCTGGCTGGAAGGGGCGCTAACTGACCCTGATGCGATCTGATGTTGCGAGTGGCAGTAATACAGTGATCAGTGAAACATTCTATATAAGGATACTGTACTAATGGCATTGGCTGGGTGACGGGGTGATCAAAGGGTTAATAGGGACAATCAAAGAGTTATACGTTCTAATCTAACGTGTGCGTGTAAAATGTAGTTCTTTTACTTGGTGCTGTGTTCTCTCTTCTCCCTGGACCGACAGGGGGCAGCAGGGAGCGCAGGTGCATTCACACCCTGCAATAGAAAGCGACATAATATTACGTCACTTTGCCCAGAGCTGCTGCTCGCCTGCAAAATGTGGGTAAGTGGTCGGCAAACAGTTAAAAAGAAAACCCAAAAAAAACACCATTCTTTTTTTTTTTTTAATTCTCAATACGGTATTTATTTTTATTTTTAATACTTTTATCAGAACAGTACAATGTTACCATAGTAACATTGTAGTAGTAGTACTGGGGGGCGATTTACACTTAAAGATAATTTTTCCTGCAGTGCAAAGCTTGCTGTCATAAACCTAACTCATCCATGAACTGTCATGAATGAGTTAGGTTTCTGACACCTCAAGATAGTGATCTGTGATTGGCTGGAGCTGGTCACATGGTACAGGGTACTGTGATTGACCCCATGTATCATGTGACAGCAGTGGGCCAATCGCAGCTCACTAGGAAGAGAAACAGAGCTATTATGAATCAGATTGATTCATAACAGCTTTGCTTACACTTGCATAGCGATCACCAAGATCTTCATTCCGCTGTGTCCGCTGGTCACAGCAGTCGCGGGTAGGGAGTGCTGTGCGCCTGCTTGGCGCCCCCCGTGTTAGTACAGGCAGAGCGACGTACCCAGGGGCGGAATGACAACTCATGGGGCCCCTGGGCAATAGGGAATCATGGGGCCCCTGTGTCCTTGCCCAAACTCAAAAAAGCCTATGAAAAAGGTACCAGGGGCATCTCATGGGGCCCCCTACTGACCCCAGGCCCTCGGGCAGTGCCAGAGTTTCCAAATGGTCAGTCCGCCCCTGGACGTACCCATACGCCACTTTGCCTGTAGCTGCCACCCGGCCACAGTACATTGCAGGCGGGCGGGAAGCGATTAAAGGGGTTGTAAAACGCAAATATTATTTACTTTATGCCATAAATGAAGGCATTTTAATGTATACATTCAGCTGTGAGTGGACCTCAGAAAAATGCTACCTTAGCTTGTCTCAGCCCTTCTAAAATTGCAGGTCTGTGAGCATGGCTTAGGACCAAAGAATAGTAGGCAGAGATGTGATGTCACACAATCCCCCAGTTATACACACTCTCCAGCCTCAGCTCAAGCACAGCTATTTGCCATCTGTATGCCTGTGAGCATGTTTCCTTCTGAAGCAGTCATGATTGGATGACGAAATGTGTCAAGCGTGGCCAGATGACGTAAAAAAGGAACAGGAATCCAGCCATCTTGGTGAGGTATCTTCAACAGAAGGCTGCCTAAATAGACTGTGACATGAATGCCCTGGGTCCACAGAAATGCAAAAAGCAGGGTAGGTACTTTATTAAATACTTTGGGTGCAGATGAGAGCTCAGATGGCAGTTCCACAAAATGTGCTGGTCTCCCACAAGCAAAATGCAGAAAGTGCTGAAGTGGAAGATGGGGATATGTAGATAGGCATCTTGTAGGTCTACTGATGCAAGATATTCCCCTTGTCCAAGAGAAGTGAACGACAAATCTTGCTAATGCCATCCAGAATTTTGGCAGAAATCTTTTCAGATACTTTAAGACCAGAATGGGGTGGATGCCTCCATTTGGGTTTGGGAAATGAGTAGGTTTGAATAAAAACCTTTGAACCTTTCTTTAGAAGGAACTGGTACAATCACCCTTTGTGAGGGACGTTATAAGATGGCCAGCAAATCTTCTTGCTTTTGAGATGATGCTGGCAAGGGAGGGAGGCAGAGATAGAAATTATTTTTTGTACTCCTTTGAAATAACAGTTTGAACCCAGAGGTTTGGGATGTCTCAGATCCAGACTGGCGCAACTGCCAATAGATGTCCCCCACTCTGAGGAGTAGGGGTACCCCTAAACTGTGAGGCAGGCTTAAGTGTCCAGGGCTTGTAACGAAAGGAAGTGCTAATCCTTGGTTTTAATGTTGACGCCTAGGGAGAGCAAAAGGGACCGATTTCGAAGCTTTAGGAGTAGGGCACTTTTTCTTAAGTGGCAGGAGTACCTTACCCCAGTGACTTCCTTGATGAACCTATCAATGGATTCCTCAAAATAAAAGGTGTTTACTGTCAAGAAGCATGTGTAAAAGACTTCTCCTACAAGCAGCTTCAGCAGACCAAGTTTTTAAACACAAAAACCTGCGAATATGCACAGATAAAAGATGTTCTAGAGATATGCTGAATCACACACTCTAGAGCGGCCTCTCTCAGCCAGGGTTTCTCAAAACCCTAAGGCTCCTCCTGGGGTTGCTTGAGCATTGGCAAATGGATCTCCCATCAACATTGATCACCAATGAAAAGTGGCAATTTTCCACTGCCCACTAGTTTTACATGGACCTCTAGTGTTAGTTTTTATTTCTTATCTGTTATTAATTTAAAGATTATTAATGAAAATAACTTTGTTGTATACAGCATGCTGATGTTTTAAATTATCTGCCACATCATTCTTTTATCTTTCATTTAAACTTTCTGATCACACTAATGTACCATGAGCTATAAGTATAATCATTTTAGCAGGGGGTTCCTTGGGACCTGAAAATTATTTCAAGGGTTACTCCATGTTAAAAAGGTTGAGAAAAGCTGCCCTAGAGCTTCCACACAAAACAATAAGGTTGAAGGCCCCAGCTGCAATTGTTTTAAGAGAACATGGTCCTCAAATACAGGTTTATGCTGTCTACTTGGTTTGCAGTTTGCAATAGTCTGGCAAACAGACATATAATTAATTTCTGGCTGCAGAGCAGGACCTGTAAGTACAAAGAAGGCTTCCAGAATCCTTGAAAGAGGGAACATCCTCAATAGGAACTGTAAGGTGTTTATTAAGGACTGAAATGGCAGTATCTACTACTGCAAAAGTCCATTTTTTCTTAAATTCCTTTTCCATATGATAAATTTCAGTAAAATGCTTAAAAAGGAGTGAATATCCTGGAAAGATTTGGCCAATCTTCATATAGTGCACATTTCCCAAATCCGCCCCTTCCTGACCAATGACACCACAAAACAACTTATCCACACCTTGGTTATATCCTGCTTCGATTACCTCACTGGTCTACCGTTACACAGGCTATCCCCCCTTCAGTCTATTATGAATGCTGCTGCTAGACTCATACACCTTACCAACCGATCAGTGACTGCTGCCCCTCTCTGCCAATCCCTCCACTGGATTCCACTAACCCAACGTATAGAATTCAAAATACTAACCACAGTTTACAAAGCCATCCACAACACTGCCCCTAGGTTTTAACCATGTTCCTCAGTTTTATCTATATAGCAGAAGGCGGCAGGAAGGGCAGTGACCATGTCTCACACGTTTTCAGCAGATACAAAAATCAGAACTGTGTCAGCCAGAAGGCATGTTACAACTGTGCCACCATCCTGAAACTATGTCTGCATGAGTAAAGATGGCAAAATTTAAAATGTACTAAAATTACCTATGGTGCCAACATGTTAGATGCAAGTAAAAAGGGGATTAGCACAATACAGTGAATAACTCCCAATGCCTGTGCTTAAACTGTATACATTTCGCTGAACCTGTTAAGGGTCCAGGCTTTGCCCATCATGGTTGTCAGGGGTCTTTAGGATCTGGGAACCTTACGAATGGAACTCAGCCCTGTACCTACAAAGCACTCTGCAACTAACTACACTCATTGCAACATCCTGTCGTGGTGAGCGCCTAACATAAGATCCGAAGCCTAAAGCAAAAATTACAGGTCAGCCCCACATACACAGTCCCCAAGGTTGACACGAAGGATTAACAAGGTAATAAGCAGTCAAGTCTTAATAAAAGTGTCTCAATCAAAACAGAATGGTTAAAAAAAAAAAAAAGGGAAAAGAATGTTTTCTGAGGAGAAAAGGTCTATCACCTGGGACACTGGCAAAAAATTTTCATTGAGACAAAGTCTCATGGAGTGGGGGGGTTATATGAGTACACCTTTAGAGGCAAAGTTCCTGCCAGTGTCCAATCACCTGAAGTAGCTAGCACATAACCCATAATTTAGGAATACAAGTGCTATGTCTTGCGCTGTACAGTTAATATATTAGTTATCAACACCAAGCATGTTTAGTTTTGTCCCTGAGAAATATAATATTAAATGCTGAAGTTATGGAGTCAACACTTGCCTAGTCAATATCACAGCTTTTGACTCAACAGGCAAGCAAACCTTGATAAGCCCTGCCTGACTGCCCTCCTTCGTCCTCCATTTCTTTACTATATTAGCAGCAGTCCTTTCAACCAGCATGTAAAGCTAGGAGCTGGCATGAGCAAAATAAAACTGGTTGTATAGAAAATGCCTTCTCGGATAAGGTTTATTTGTGTTAATTTTGACCATCATAGTGAAACAAATAGCTATAAAGTGTGACATTGGCTTACAAGAAGTGTCATCCAACCATTCGATGTAGCCTGGCGGATACTGCTTATAGAAAGCAAATATGTCCTCTGTACTCATCTCATCCACACCCATGACATGTAGGGTTTCCAGACGGACATTTGGGAGTGCTGAAAAATATTAGCCATTGAAAATTAATCCTCAAATACTATTTAAACCTGTTGAAATGACAAATTAAACCATACAGGAATTAAATAAAATTTCATGAAAAGCCATCTTCACAGTAACATGAGCATCTTTTTACAAGCAGCTCTGGGGAATACAAGGTGCTGATCTCTGGCCTAGCAACAGGTATTAAAGGTGTTTGTCTAGCAAAACAAGCCTTCCTGAAGGGATCATTTACATAGGATTAAATTACCTGATGTGCTCACATACAAGTAAATGCACATCATTTACACAAACAAAATGTTAACTCATCACTTAAGACATCTAATCTAATTTGCTCTGCACAGACCAAAAGCTCTGCTCCGCTATAAAAGGCAAAATTTACAGGAAGAAACTAAATTACACTAATAACAGTAATAACAATCGGGTGACTGAGTCAGACACTGATAAACGGACCTACAGTTCTCTCAGGGCCATTTTTCAGCTGGTGAAATTAAAGATTAGCTGGGAGGTCGAAAACCAAAGCATGCCCTTTCCACTGTGGTCTCCACAATGTCCTAGAAGCACCATCACGGGTAGCCTTGGGTTGATGATTTGATTCCCAGCTTGTGGATGGCAACTGATCACTCAAGGCAATAAGTGAATAGACCCTGTGCAAAACACACAACTGTTGGCTGCCACAGCAGCACTGCTGAAAAAATTGTATATTAAAAGCACCCAGTAAAGATGGCCTATGAAGAACACTGGAACCTCATGTATCAGATTCTTAGTAGCTGACAGCGATCTGATTTTGAACACCTACCATAAAACAGAAAGCAGAGATCTCTCACATTGATCAAGAAAATATCCTTTTAAACACTTCTGGTTATGTATCATATGAGAAAAACTACAGTATACAGTTACTAAGGACACAGCATTCCCTCTCTCTACCTTTCTATGACTTACATTTCAACAGCTGAGCAAACATGAAAGCAGCTTGAGGGCTGCCATTGTTGATCTCCTTTGGAGAATTCTCACTGACTAGCTGATTATTGAACCCTTTCACTGCCAGAGACATTTTTACACACGTTGAAAAAATACATTTTAGACCTGAAGAATCCTTAAAACTGCCAAAATATTATAAGTTTTCTGAAAGCAGAGATCCTGGAGAATAAAATAGTGGTAGCTCCAATTTCTTAAACATTTTTCGAGGATGGGGGGGGGAGCGAGTGCTTGGGTGTAACATTTTTCCCTAAACTTTATTTTTTGTAATCACATAGGGGATGAAATGGGGGTTGAATGTATCAGGGGTGTGTGGAAGCACAATTATTTCCACCTGACAACCAGCTTGACAGATTTACACACATTAGTAGATGTAAATGTGCGTTAAACCTCCACTGCTGCCAATGTGTACCATAGGTCGGTAATAGCGAAAGGGGTTAATACTAGTCAGGAACAAATTGAGACCTGATTTCCATACTTGTTGCAGGTCTGTGACTCACAAAAATATTTAAAGTAAACCTGTCACTACGTGTGTTATAACCACACATAGTGACAGGTTTACTTTCAATACTTTTGAGAGTCACTGACCTGCGACAAGTATGCAAGTGAAGTTTACTTTTGCCATCTGACTCCTATCGGGGACATTTCCATTCATTTCCTGTACCTTAGCCAAAACAGGAAGTGAGAGAAAATCCCTCTAAAAGTAAGGGACCCCTTGTTTATCACCAGAACTAGTGTCCCCAATGGAAGATATATCCACTATTCATATTCTAAAGATGACTCAAAATTGGTATTTTCTTTTACTTTCAGTGATACTGGTAACAGGATAAATAGAGGATGACTCTCCCTAACAGGCACAAACGGCAAAAAAAAGTTGACAGCTGTTCTAATCCCCCTCCATTCTATTCAGATAAAAAGGAGAGACGTTTCAAATTGATGAAAGAGAGGTGCATACGCAGAACTATGAGGTAATCCCCTGAGAACCAAAAGTCAAAATATCAACAATCTCAAGGATACAGTCGGATTAAATGAAAAAGAAAAGTTTTGCCTTTAGTTTTACTTTAAATATCTTCAGCTGTTTTAAACACCTAGATTTCTTCCTCATTCCTAATGTTCCTACTGCGTTCATAGAAGGCTTCTAAGTCCCAACTGGGTAGGTGGGGATTAGCATGAGGATTTCAGTGCATCTGCTGAGAATTTTGAAATACACCACATTACCTGCTGCCACATACGGTAGATCAGTGTGGTGTTTGTTTTAGCCGATGTATTGCATTTTAAGAATTTGCACATATTTTTGAATGTGCATAGTGTGTTTACGCTTTAATGCCAAACAATGTTGGCTTTAGATACATTTTAGAGTAGGAAAGGGTGAGAAAATTTGTTGATTCTTTTTGTTGTCTGCAGGTTTACTGGGGAGATTCCTGGTTACCATTATCAACAGGTCTGAAAGTGAGAAAAAAACCCTACATTTATCATTGCTATCCATAGTGAAATAAATGTCCAATAGGGACACTCTTTCCAGTGACAGCTGTCTAATAGGGGTTTAAGCACAATCAGACATAGAAGACCAAGCATAAATAAGTAATGGCATTGGTTTTTTTTCCCATTCTTTACTCCGTCCAAAACAAAAACTAAAATTAGATACACTTTAAAGTAGAAGTACAGGCTAGAATTAACTAAGCTTAAAACTGCTCCCACGCACCTTCTAACGCCTATAGTAACTACCCTGTAAGAAAGATGCTTATATTTTACCTATTCTCAGGGCTCTCTGGTCAGGTCACATTATTGGCTCCCAGCATCCTGCATCAGGAGAGAGGAGGGGCAGCCAAGAATGGATGCCCTATAGTAAGCCAATAAGTAACGTCACTGCCCAGGAGGCGCATCCATTGTTTGCACTCTTCCCTGAAGCCAGCCGCTGGGGACCGGACAGGAGTGCTCTGATAATATTTAAGTATATGCAAGAGTTAAAAAGGGTGAATGGAAGCTGTTTTAAGCTTCACTGACTCTAGCCTGAACTTCTACTTTAAGCATATATCCATAGGATACTTTGTAGGTACTCATAAGTGGATAAATTCAACTCCTGCTCCTTATTCAATAGTTTAAGCATCAGGTCAGGTTTACTTTTAGTACCCTTCTACGTTACTGAACCAAAACAAATTAGGAAGTCAGATTTGAGTTCACCTGTTGCATACTCCTTCCTGTCTAAGAAACAGATACCACAACATGCCTGCTATTAACTTTATTAGCTAGAAATGTCCTTCTGTGCCCCACACCGATTTAGTTCCATGTGTACCTCTACTTTATGTCTACCCTCCACCATATGCCACCTCCATGCAAGGAGACTACCAAATTGGCAAACGATGGAGTGGTAGCTGGCAGAGCCAATCCATAAAGTCGTTGGAAGTCTGTTCCTATTCAGAACATTTCCCATGGCATACAGGTTTACTTTAAAAGAAGTTGACTGGACATGCTGGTGCAAAGCAGTACTATAATCAAGTTTTGAAGAGGACATAGCTCTACACAGAAACATCACACTGGCTACAGACAAATGCAGCAACAATGTGGAGTGCTGAATGCAAAGTGTTCATTCACATAAAAGTGTTAAGGAAAGCATTTACCTTTTCTCATCATGTCTCTATCCAGTATGACATTTCTCTGATCGTCACTGACTTCTGCACGGAAATGAAACCTCTTTGCTCTCTGTTCTTTTTTCTCAAGGGCTTCCTGTGAAAAGGAAAATCTATTTTAAATAAGGACTGCTTATTAACCAGACACTTCCACTGCTTAATGTGCCATGACAGTTTCAGAGGCAAATTTTATTTTAAGTCATACAAGAAGAATAAAATGAAAAAGATCTTAAAAAAAAAAAAAAAAAAAAAAAAAAAAAAAGGAGGTGTGCTTCACTACTAAAGCTGCTCAAATCATTAAAAAGCACAATGCTTTAGAACGAGGCACAACATATTAGGTTACATGGGTCTAAAATGCTGAACATAGTTTGAAGTGCATCTTGCAAATCATAAAACAGAGATTTTAAACATAGCACATGCTACAAGTAAAGCAGGGTATATATGGGGGAGTGTTTTTGTTCAACCAGCGGGTTGAACGAAAAAATCCCCCAAAAAACTTACAGATCCTTGCATCTACACAAGCAATGTGCATGCAGTGATTTCCCCCCCCACAATGCTATTGTATTTCCCCTCAATTAGAATACACAGATCAGCACTGCAGTCATTGGCTGCAAGCACCAATCAAATGATGATTTTTTTTTCAACATGACCTTTCGACAGAAGAAAGTCGTACGACCATTATCTGTTGAACAGACAGCGGTACAGACATACTGAAATTCAGCTGTATACCCAGCTTAAGCCTGTTTTCTATTATAAACTGATCAAGTCACTGTGTACACTTCCTCAGTTATTTGTTAGAGTGAATGAAATGTATTTGCTTTTCTTTGCTCAACATTGATAGACCTGGTAGTGTTGCCCCTTCTCTCCATTACTATTCTACTTAACGATAGAGCCATTAGAGTCGATTCAACAGTGGACCCATATTATAGGGTTTGAAAGGCGTGCAAGAGGATAAATTGGGTATGTATGCTGATGACATGTTGCTGGATGATTCAGATTATTTTCTGCAAAATTTTGTACTGCTCTTGATAAAATTTAAAAGCAAGTGCAACGTACAGTGTATTTATCGGTGGCAGGTATAACAAACCCTGCAAAATAGGGTATGGACACCACAGCTGCTGTACTTTTTGAATGATCCCCCTGCTGGATACCAGTGGCTGTTTTATTGAGACATTTAATGGGGTATTTAGGGATATAATATGGGGAAGAAAATATCTTGAATTTAATTAAACACCTTACAATACCCAAGGGAGATGGGGAGGGCTTGAAGTCCCTTCTCCTTGGATATATTTAATTGCTTTGCTATTTCAATATCTTGCAGGGTGGGGGAAGAGTAGAGAAAGGTATGTAAAAGGCAACAATTTCTCTTCAAGAAGCATGATCCACTGTATGCACTGGAAACAGAGCGGTATCTTAAGTCACCTATAGACCTTCCTTCTGTATACTTTACTGGACAAGTGAGATCCTGTAACTATTATTAGTGAATAGCCTTACTAAATAAACTTCATTATGGTCCAATGAGTATCTTTCAGAAATGGCTAAACCTAGCCCCTTTCCAAAATGGCAGAAGGCGGGTATTGTTGCCGTAGATCAGTTATTTTCACATGGTGCGCTTAAAACATTCCAGCAACTGAGTGCAGAGTTTACAGATTTGACATGCACAAGTTCAAAGTTGTAGTCTGGATATAAATACTGCATCAAGAACACTTACTTTGGAAGTGTTCTAAGATGGTGGGGTACTGGCAAAAAAAATTACCCAATATATTAAGCAGACTTTTCATAGAAGCCTGAAATGCAGCCCTCTTTTGAGTATTTGGATATAGAGGCATCTACTAAATACATAGCTGAGGCTACTGCAAGATTACTATCTGTGGCTAGAAAACCAATTGCAAGAAAGTGTACAACTCAAGCTCTACCATCAATTGTTGGATGGCTGGCAGAAAGGAGTTGTGGGAAGAAATATGTCGAAATCTGGTCTTGGTGGCTGGAGAAACATAATTTGAGGTATTAATGCGGGTATGGTAGGAGATTGTATTCTAACATGTCATAAGGTGAAGGAACCCAGTAGACCTGACACTCCATCTACTATACAGAGTGGTACTTAGTGTGGAATACTATATGGAGGTGTAATGTGATTAAACCGGTTGTGAAGAAATTTTTTTTTTTTTTTTTTACATAACAAACATGTCTATATTTAGCTGCTCTGTGCAATAGAATTGCACAGAGCAACCCCGATCCTCCTCCTTTCTTGGGTCCTTCTGGCTCCTCCTCTCTTGCCGATGCCCCCAATAGGAACCCAATTCCCATGGGGGCACTCATGTAGGCTTGCTCCTGAGTCCCGCTGCTGCATCCATTGACAGACAGCTGGATTTGACTCTGTCCCTCGAGTTGATTGACAGGAGCAGGAGCCAATGGCTCCCACTGCTATCGATCTGCTCAATGAGGAGGGACAAAACCAGCTGTAGCTCTCATGTACAGCGCTGGATCACGATAGGGCTCAGGTACGTATAATGGGGGCATTCTGTTACACAGATTTTTTTACCTAAAAAAAGCCTTGAGGCTTTAGAACCACTTTACGTAATCAAATGCATAATAAGAGGTCTGATAAAGAAACTTTAAGGCATTTTTTTTTAGTCTTGACTTTGATATTGGTATGGATTTGCTTTGTATTTTTTTTTTCTTTGAAAATGTGTACATTTGTAATTGTGGAAAGTAATACAGTTTGATTTAAAAATAAAAAGCTTTCTAAACCCTAGACAGTACATTTTAAAGCCAGTAAACCCTTCCAACTACGTAAGTAGCCGAAGTACCATTTTCAAACCACATTCACAATTCAGTGTGCTCTACTGTGTATTTGAATCATTTATTTGTGTATTTATGCTGTGGTTTTATACTATTATTTTGTTCAGCCCGCCCAACACAGATTCCGTGATGTTGATTTCTGATTGGATGCAACCACTTTTGTTTTCCCATAACCACTTTATTAAGTCATATCAGATGACAGAAAATTAACGTTGGGTACAATATTGTTTTCATATACAAACATATAAAGCAGAAGAGAAAAAAATAAAACCATAATGACAGTGCATTCCAATGGGAGCAACCAGTTGTACATTGCTAACGAGCCTTGCTCTAGCACATGGCTGAAGCGGTTGCAAGGACTGATAAACTGGGGTTGAACAGATCTCAAAACGGGTCAATATAGAGGGGAGGACATGATGCAAGTAGACATACAGAGAGAAAAGGAAAAGAAACAAACAAGGGAAAAAAAAAAAGAAGAGGGAAAGAAAGAGAAAAAGGAATAGAGAGTGGGGGAAGAATTGGATGCATCTACTTTTCAGCCAACAATATTCTGTATGGCTCCTTTTAATTTTCAATACGAGGGATTGCAGACAGGAGGCAACTGACAGGGCCACCCACTGACCCACAGTGTATGGCCAACTTAAAGGATAGGTTCACCTTTGTGAACATGTTCCACCCATTTTTATGGTGGAACATGTAATATGTTCCTGCAGCCACCACCCGATCCCCCCAAACCCCCCTCCCCCGTGTCAGCAGTAAGGGGAGAAGTTCCCTGTACTGTCACTTTTTAAAAACAGCATGGCCGTACGGGGCTTCGCCCACACGGCCGCGTCCTTTATTCACAGTGTTCTGTGAATTAATGGACTACAAGTTCCAACAGCCTTAGCGGCTGTCGGCTCATAGTTCTCAATGAACTACCATGGCACAGTGAGCGCTTTGGTAGTTAATTGCATCTCCCTGTCAGAAGTATCGGCTTGCCCGTACAGGATGTACGAGCAAACAGATAAACTGACAGGTCTGCAGGAGACCTACATGGCATTAGCAATCTGCTGATCGCTGGTGCAATGCTTTACAGGCTCCTACTACAAAAAATAATAAATGCACATTTTTTTACCTGGAAAAAATGTGCATTTATTTTTTTTTTGTAGAACGGTGAACTTATCCTTTAACCTTCATCAAATCTTTAGATGGAACTCTTTGCTGTCTAGTTGACGCAGGTTCCTAATGTTTTAATTGAACCCAGCTTTCTTGGATAATGTTAAAACCAACTGTACCCAATTGCAACAATTATGCCAAACTTACATATGTACTTTGAATTAGTGATCCACAAAGCAGTGAAAGATAATGCATGAAGAGGACATCACATAAACATGCAACCTACACAAAAGGAATGATAGCACCCATATTTTTGTCACAATTCTCAGATGTTTTAGTTATTCGCTTTTGCTGATTAGGCCCCTTTCACATAGGCAATCCGATCAGGTCTGTGTCAGTTTTTCAGGCAGACCTGATCAGAAGGTCCACAAATTTCTATGGACAGGTGGATGTAAATGGAGTTTTTGCCCTTTTACATCCGCCTACCTCTGGGTCCAATCAGTCCGCTAAAAAAAAAAAAAAAAAAAAAAAAAAAAAAAAAAAAAAAAAAAGGATCCATCCTCTTCTGTTTAGGCAGATTGGAGGGTAGTGGGTTGTAAACGAACAGTGGAGACCATTTACTTCCAGTGTCCTTGGAGGAGAGCGGACTGTCAGAAACTGAGCGCACATGGATGTGTCATATGACCGCTCTACTCCAATCAGCAGGGGATATGCAAGCGGATCCCCTGCCAATCAAATAGAATCTGCCCATGTGAAAGGGGCCTTACTAAGTTCCAGCCTATCTTCTAACCCAGGAATTCCATAACAACAGCGACATGATAGCTGAATGACAGGAGTAAATACTATAGAGTACAGTCATATAACCACCAGTAAAAATACCTCAGTGTCATAAATATATATACATATGTGCTAAAACATAAATAAAATGCTAAAATTGTGAGTCTTTAAAATAAATAAATTCAAATTATTGTGTAAAGTGTACTTATTTTAAATGACAGGAGTGGTGCTCTCTGTTGTTAAGGATTGCACTTCAGGCATGTTTTAAGGAGCAGGGCCCTCCTACCCTCTTGTATTGAACTGTATTGCTGCTGTATTGTCTCCCGTTATATTGTAAAGTGCTGAGCAAACTGTTGGCACTATATATATCCTGTATAATAATAATATTTTAGGCCAGGTCAGATAAAACATGCAAAAGGCAATGCTGTCCAGAAGCCAATAACAGTCAATATCATATTCATAAGAATGATTGGCTGAGAAAGGAACATCCCAAGCAGGGGAGTAAAAAAATAAAACAGATGCGAAAATATGAAGTCACCACCACTCCAAAGTAAATGTATTTCACATATTAATTGTGAAGACAGTGGCATATATATACATCATACGAAACTAACAATTAAGGGCCTTGGATCATCTCTTCGTCAAGACAACAGTTTGCCTTGAAGAAGGAATCCCACCAGGCCCCCAAAAGTCGGTTTCTTATGACTTATGTGTCACTGTATTCACAATAAATATCAAAAATTAATTTATGTGGAGTGCTGGTAACTTTGTATCTACACATCTGGTTCTGGCATAGCACTAACTTCAGCAGTCATTTTTGGCACCCCTCAATTTTTTATAGGCCAAGACAGGAGTGCAGATTTTCTTTGGACGTTTTTGTAAAGATAAAAAAATGTATCTATGTTCTTACTAAAGTCTAAAGTTAAATATACAGTACATGAACAGTTTCACTCAACCAATATTTTTTTGTAGAACCATTCCAAACATGCAGAGTGAAAAGGTTTACCTTGGAAGTGACATCAATGCCAGTGATGAAGGTCCCAGCTTTATTTTCATATCTCCTGATGTTACCCTATATGAAAGATAAATATCAAAATCAGAACTCGATGACTCAACAACATACAGTCATAAAGATAACAGAAGCTGAACCACTTCCTGATAGAACATCTCACTGTACTACATCCATAAATAAAACCACAATAAACAATCTGCATTCTGCAAGATGACTAAGAATGGTTTGGTAATATTGAAGCATTCACTTTTAGGTGGATAGTCATTAAAGCTGAACTCAAGACAATTACATATATTTGGCATGTTTTAATGGCAAAAGGCTTTGTTATTCTGTTCATCCTTTCTTGTGATCTAGACATCTTTGGCATGCAGCACCGGCCTCTTTAGACCTCTATGCAGATTGCACTACATTTCCGCAGTAAAGCATAGCCTAGGACCAGCCTCAGCTTATGACTGGACTGAATGAGAAGCAGTACTGCTGACCTCCTATATTCTTTATTGCTAGTGGAGTCAGCTGTAGGAAACATTAACACCCCGGTCACATCGAACCAAACTTTGAAATAGTGTGACTTACAGTAAAGTCGCACAATTTAAAAGTCAAGTGAACTGCCAATTTCAGGTGCAATTTGCAAGACATCTGACACAGATGTCTATGCAAATCGCACCAAAAGTAGTGCATGCACTACTTTGAAAATCGGTGCGGCTCTGACCAAGTCGGAACTGCACCGATATGACCACTCTAATTGTGGAAAACAGGGTGTGACTTGGCACGTGATTTGCAAATCGCATGCCAATTCACATCCAGTGTGACCGGGGTGTTAAAGTGAAATTCCAGCTTAAACCTAACTAGCCTTAAAAACGTCCCCTCCCACTCCTAACACCTATGACTAACGTGTGTAAAAAAGATGCATATATTTTAAACTTTTTTTATGCTCTGGCCTAGTCATGCGATCCGACTTTCCTGTGTCAGCCAGTGGATGGCTGTGGGGGAGAGAAAGGAGCACAGACGACCGATGGGCCATAGGAGTTTGTGGGTGTCATTAGGATTTACCAGCCATTGTCAAGCACTCTTTTCTCTCCCCTGTATGAGCCACTGGCTGACAGAGGGGATCACCTGACCAGAGCAGGCTAAAAATAGGTACGTATATGCATCTTTTTTACACAGGTCAGCATAGGTGTTGGAAAATATTTTTCAAGTGATTGAAAAGGTTCTTTTTTTTTGTTATTGATAAAAACACGTTATACTTACCTGCTCAAGTATTCACTTAATTCTTCCACAGGTGAGCTTATTTCAGTAAAGTGAATAAATGCGTTAAAATATAAACAATAGCTACATGATGTATCCTTGTTCGCACTTCTGAACTGCTGCCTGTTAAGGTTACATGGGCAGATATTGTGTCAGAAACCATCACTTGAATAGGCATTTCTTGAAAAGCTGCCCAGGCACCAGGCTGTAACTTGGGTGGACATGCACAAAATTTCAACCTCATTGAGGTGTGAATCCTCCTGCATTTAAATAAAAGCATTCCCTTCTTTTCACTGAAAGCAAGGCGCTCTGTGATTGTAGGAAGTGTGGAAAAATCTCAATCCTCCAATCACAGAGTGCTTCTTGTTCAGTGAAAGTTGTTCAGTCCTGTCAGCAACTATAAGCCTTGACAAAACTTGATTTACAAACCGAATGAGCTGGATAAAAAAACTGCCAGTTAAATTACTCACTACAACCAGATGTAGTGACTGTTCAGGTATTCAAGCAACTGCAGAGACTGCTTGTATACAATAATCAGCAGCGCTGATTTCTCCCATCCACATAGCTGAATGAGAGAATCTAGTCCTGTATGAACAGCTTAAGGCAGGCCATAGACGGGCTTTTTACCGGCCGAATTTTTGGGCAACGAAAAATTGGTCAGCCCCGTTGCCGATGCTGCTACCAATGCCCCCGAAAAAAAAGCCGTTTTTTGCGGATTTTCCAGCATGACCGATAAAACTAAACGAGAAAATCCGCGAAAAAAGGCCGACGGAGTGGCCCCACTAACAGCGTGAATATCGGCCGATTTTTCGTGTGAACGAAAATTCGGCCGATAAATGACCTGTCCATGGCCTGCATTAGGGTACACGCTCAAGATTTTTTTTTTTCTTTTAAATTATTGTTGTTCTGTTTCAAACTGGAAGGATCATGTGACAATCTTTTAAACACATTGGCCAACTGAGAGATAGCTAAAAATTTCCAGGAGTGTTTGGTCATTTAGTTGTGATCCAATTCCCATGAGGCTCACCCCTTGGCTTGCTAGGAATACACTTTTACAACTGTGGAACATGGAGGCAAAAAACCAGCTAGACACTCCCAGCACAAGTTAATCTTGGGGACAGATCAAACATCAGCAATTTAGCATCCTTTCTAAAATCACCCAGGGGTATCTAGTGGTGCCCAGAGGTGTCAGAATATTGCTGGGTCTATCCAAATATGCCTGCAGCAGAACACACACAACCTCATCTTCTCATAAAATTTAACCGACTTGAGCCTCACCTGCACCAATCAGGCAGCACACAGAAGAAAATAAAAAGAACATGAGTCTACATTCAGTCAGATTACTATAGATTAACATTTTATGTAATTCACCATAAGTATACACTACAACAGAAGAAAATGATGTATACAGATGATAGCATCAGGGACTCAGAGCACCACCACACCAAACCTCCCCCTCGGGAAGTTATTTTTATTGATAGTCTCACAGAACATGAAGAAGTGAGTTCACTAAAACTCACAAGATGCGTTGAAATGATTGTTGGAACCATTTCCCCTGATGCTTCCCATTGTACAGCGCTGAGCAAACCCTTTGGCGCTATATAAACACGATAAATAAATAAATAAATAAATAAATAAATGCTTCAACTATACAGGAGTTTGGGAAATACCTTGTTCAGAAATAATGATATTGGCAATTTGCTGATGAGTGGGAAGGACAACAGCTAACTGTAAAACAAGTATTTTAAAACCCAATGTTGTGTGTTTATGAATAGGTCTTTATGGCCAGAATGTTATGTACGTTACACATCCCAGGATCAATATTTCAGAGGAATCAAATGATATGATGTACATTGTATATAAGTGAGAGCACCATGAAAGTCCTATATATATATATATATATATGTTTGTTTTTCTATTCTTTGCAATTTGAGGGATGTTGGTGTCCAGTTCCATGATTGGGACAATTTACGGTGGGGCAAAAAGGTATTTAGTCAGCCAACAATTGTGCAAGTTCTCCCACTTAAAAAGATGAGAGAGAGGCCTGTAATTGGCATCATAGGTAGACCTCAACTATGAGAGACAAAATGAGCTAAAAAAATCCAGACAATCACATTGGCTGATTTGGAAAGAATTTGTTTGCAAATTTTGGTGGAAAATAAGTATTTGGTCAATTTTAAAGGTTCATCTCAATACTTTGTTATATATCCTTTGTTGGCAATGACAGAGGTTTTCTATGGGGTTGAGATCTGGAGACTGGCTAGGCCACTCCAGGACCTTGAAATGCTTCTTACAAAGCCACTCCTTCGTTGCCCGGGCGGTATGTTTGGGATCATTGTCATGTTGGAAGACCAGCCACATTTCATCTTCAATGCCCTTGCTGATGGAAGGAGGTTTTCACTCAAAATCTCATGATACATGGCCCCATTTATTCTGTCCTGTACATGGATCAGTCGTCCTGGTCCCTTTGCGGAGAAACAGCCCCAAAGCATGATGTTGCCACCCCCATGCTTCACAGTAGGTATGGTGTTCTTTGGATACAACTCAGCATTCTCTCCCCTCCAAACATGACGAGTTGTGTTTCTACCAAACAGTTCTATTTTGGTTTCATCTGACCATATGACATTCTCCCAATCCTCTTCTGGATCATCCAAATGCTCTCTAGCAAACTTCAGACGGGCCCGGACATGTACTGGCTTAAGCAGGGGGACACGTCTGGCACTGCAGGATCGGAGTCCCTGGCGGCGTAGTGTGTTACTGATGGTAGCCTTTGTTACGTTGGTCACAGCTCTCTGCAGGTCATTCACTAGGTCCCCCGTGTGGTCCTGGGATTTTTGCTCACCGTTCTTGTGATCATTTTGACCCCACGGGGTGAGATCTTGCGTGGAGCCCCAGATCGAGGGAGATTATCAGTGGTCTTGTATGTCTTCCATTTTCTAATTATTGCTCCCGCAGTTGATTTGTTCACACCAAGCTGCTTGCCTATTGCAGATTCAGTCTTCCCAGCCTGGTGCAGGTCTACAATTTTGTTTCTGGTGTCCTTCGACAGCTCTTTCGATCTTCACCATAGTGGAGTTTGGAGTGTGACTGTTTGAGGTTGTGGACAGGTGTCTTTTATACTGATAACAAGTTCAAACAGGTGCCATTGATACAGGTAATGAGTGCAGGACAGAGGAGCCTCTTAAAGAAGAAGGTACAGGTCTGTGAGAGCCAGAAATCTTGCTTGTTTGTAGGTGACCAAATACTTATTTCCACCATAATTTGCAAATAAATTCTTTCCAGATCAGCCAATGTGATTGTCTGGATTTTTTTGCTCATTTTGTCTCTCATAGTTGAGGTCTACCTATGATGCCAATTACAGGCCTCTCTCATCTTTTTAAGTGGGAGAACTTGCACAATTGGTGGCTGACTAAATACTTTTTTGCCCCACTGTATATGTGGTAGTGCCTGTAAATGTGCATAATCATGCACCAAAACAAGTGTTTTTTTACATTTGATTTTTCTAGCAGCAGAAAGATCCAGTGTACATAGGAGTATATCATTATGCCTGTGTGCATGAAGCATTATTGTTCCAGGGATACTTACCAGACGTCCTCCAGGAAAGCTGCTGTGTACACATAGTCCTGTGATCATGCTGTTATTGGACACAGTGGATCACATGTAAAAGGTACAGAGCCAGAGAGCAGCTCTGTACCACATGATCTCTGTGACCAATCAAAACATCACGGAATGTAAGCAAAGGCAGCCGTGTCTCCCTTTCTGGCTGGTAAATAGGAAGCCCTCTTTCCTCTCACATGCTGATCACTCCTCTCCTGCATATGTCAGCACCATCCTGTCTCTGATGTGACCCAGTGGGCTGATCGGTAAAAAAAAAAAAAAAAAAAAAAATGAATGGATTTCCCCATTCACACATGCAAGATGATGAAGGAATCCTCTCTGCTGTGCTATTGAATTCTGACAGCTGCAATGCTCTGCTGTTGGAATACACTGATCGGTGGTTGCAGCCCAATGCCCAACTTTCGGTCCATCTACATCCACCTTAAATCTACTAGTGTTTATGTGTGTTAAGATGCGTATCTAATATGTCCCAGATGCAGGTTATCCTTTTCTCTATATGCAGCTAAAATCAATGCTGTGTGAATTACACCATTTTCAGTAGACCTTCACTACAGAATTAAACTTTTCCTCCCTCCACTTAATCCTCCCCCAAAATAAATAAAAGTCATGTTTGTTTTTTTTTTTTACTACAGCCCCACCCCAGCATTCTCACCTAGACAAGAGTGCTATGTCCCTGCTCCTGCAGCCCCGTCATATCCCCATTGGCTGTAGAAACAGGGGATATCACAGCGGCCTGTGGGTGGACCTCTTATGCACCATCGGCTGCAAGAACCCAGAAGAACCAGTCGGGCTCCTGATGATGGGAGGGTAGATGAAGATGTAAGACCCAGACAGTGGATCAACACTGGATTCAGTGGGCAGGTTAAAATGTTCTTTGATGAGAACTCAACATTACGGGGGGAATCGGGGGAGGAAACTTCTCTAAGGGCCAAGGTCCAGAGCAGTGAACTTTGACGGCACATTCATTTGAATGGGCAACAAAACCCACTGGACTGTTTTTCAAAACACACTGCACCAAACCACATGGTATTGCAGTACCATGCAATTTGCTGCCCTCAAAACGCACTGTGCTTGGGGTGTCATTAACAATACACTGGCACCCACATACAGATAGCAAGGGCAGCACATTCACCTGCGGTGTGGAAAACGTGCACTGAATGGGCCTTTCCTGCACCTCATTTTGGTGTGAACCTTAAAGTATAGGCAAAACTTTTTTCAGTTTTGGATAGTATCGAGGGGGACTAGAACCTCCGTCAGGTTTTTATTGCTGTCTGTACCCCTGTTAGGGAGATTCACCCTCTTGATTCATCCTGTTCACTGTTATCACTAAGGCTAGGGTCGCACAAGTGCAATCCGATTTTGATCCAACTTTCAGTGTGATTACGTAACGCTACTTTAAAGTGGCTTGCCATGGGGCCAAAACTGCACTAAAATCATACTAAAGTAGTACAGGAACCTTAATTGTGCTGTGCTGAGTCGCATTGATGTTAACAGGCACCACTGAAAACAATGTGATTTCCATTATCAGGTGATTCTATGCAACTCAAGTCAGCGAAATCGCACCAGTGTGAATGGCGCTTGAATGTAAAAGAAAATCCCCAAAACAGTAATAGAGGGAAAATCTTTTTAAAGGGGACACAAATTCTGATAACAAGGGGTTAGCTCAATTTGGAAAGATTTCCTCGCATTTCTTGTTTGAAGTAGGAAGTGAAATCTCCCCCAATGGAAACTCGACAGGTAGTAAACCTTAACTAAAACCCCCAAAAAATCCAAACACAAAACCCTGCAAGGTAGTGTCAAACAGTGCTAGTATACAACGCATACTAGCACATTATGAAGGACTTGCCTTAAAACGAAGTCCAGCAGGTTTCCATCATCACCCAGTCTTCCTTCCGGGTTTGTGAGCTCTGGCCATGATGATGTCACTCTTGTGCATGCGCGCAGGAGGCCCAGGCCACAGCACAGTGCTTTGAAGGAACGACACGGGTATGCCGATCCTTCAGAGAGCATGCGCCAGCTCTCAAAAAGAGCGAAAATCTCCTAATATCAGCTTACCTGTACGTAAAAGTGTACAAAAAGAGTTTACTACCACTTTGAACCTGGGTTCACATATATGCAGTGCGGTATATCGCATGTGATTAGCACAGGAACCGCACCACATTCCTGTGCACATCACATGCGATTTGTGTGCGGTGCAATTGGAGCCATACATTTTGTACAGATTTAATCGCACCGCACCAAAAACGTGCAGGACCCTTTTTTTGGTCTGCACTAGAATCAGATCGCATGAGTACTCACACCTATGCGATTCGATTTTGCACATCGCACTGCGTTTTGCGGACAGCTTTTGGGGTGTTGTTAACTTAATATACACACCTGCAGCAGTTCGCATGAACAGGGTGCAATTCTGATGAGATGCGGAATTCGCACAGAAAACACTGTGAATTCCGCACCGCATCAGTGTGAACCAGGGCTAAAACTTATTCCATACATTTAGACTGTCAGCTCTAACGAGCAGGGCCCTCTCATTCCTATTGTACTGAATTGTATTGTTACTGATTGCCCTCACACTGTAAAGCGCTGCACAAACTGTTGGCACTATATAAACTCTGTATTTGGATGGGGAAATGTCTCATAGATGCAGGTCTGTCCATGCTGGTGTGAATGAGGCCTCCATCTCTCTGGCCACACAGACAATGAGAAAACCTGGCAGAGGCTGTAACCCACAACAACTGGATGAATGCTGTGTATGCAGGAGTGCTGAGTCCAGCCATGTGAGGGCGCTCTGTACACACAGCCGGCCCCCCCAGACTAGAAGAGCTACCATCACCCCGAGGAGAGCAGGGATACCCCAGGACCCCCCTCCAGGCCAGCACAGCCCTGTGTATGACCAGTCATGGGGCTCACACTGCCATGAATGGCCGGTGCTGGGGTGACCCCAGACAGGTGACATGCAGGAACCCCCTCACATACCGACACCGCCTCCCGGGGGGAGCTCCCGTCCGGCGCGGCCTCCACTTCTCCCTCCTCCACCTCCATGGGCTCCGGCTCGCTCACACCTCCCGCCGACTTCACCAACACCCGGAGTCCCCGCACTGCCGCCATTTCATCAGCCAGACGTTCCGAACAAGGCAAACGTTAACACACAGACGTTCCGTCTTCCGCCCGGCGGTCATAGAGTGCGGGTTACCCCGGCTAGACAGAATTCAGCACATGACCCGCAGGTGAAGGGGCGGCGGCGGCCATCTTGGTGGCGGAGTGGTGTGTGTGCGTCGCGACGTACGAGGGTCACGTGGTGTTCGGCTGTCAACCGGCGTAGTGTGTGCTGGGGGAGTCGGCGGAGCTGAGGAAAGGAAGTGAGGGAGAATTGTTCTGTGCAGGGGTGGACTGACAACTCATGGGGCCCCCGGGCAATAGGGGATCATTGGGCCCCTGTGTCCTTGCCCAAGCTGAAAAAAAAAGCCTATGAAAAAAGTACCAGGGCCATCTCATGGGGCCCGCTACTGACCCCGGGCCCTTGGGCAGTGCCCAAGTATCCAAATGGTCAGTCTGCCCCTGGTCCTGTGCCTGGGTGACCGAATAGTGGAAGGCGAAATGTTGTCCGCCTGGCTGTAGTACTTCTAGTCTTTTCCTTGGAGCAACTGAATTGAAAACCATGTTGTGGGGGGAAGCGCTTGGAAGTGGTCCAGACAGTTTTTAAGTGGAAGTAAACTCTATTTTGCATCTTTTACCTATGGGAAAGCTTACCTGTAGGTACTGTATATATCTAAATGTACCCCGTTTAGGAGATATTTACTGTAAAAGTGCCGGTGACAACACCGACGCCCTGCGCTCTCAAAAGACAACATGCCAGCCATTAATAGAGCCATGGCCGAAACTCAGTTCGCGCATGCACAGGAGTGACATCGACGTGGCCAATCAGTTGGCCGCAGCTCACCAACCCAGAAAGAAGACCAGGTAAAAATGTAAGCAGCGCTCTGCTGGAAGGCTTTGTTTTCAGGTAACTTTTCATAATGTGCTAGCGTGCGATGCATACTAGAACATTATACTCTTCACTTGCAAGGAGAAGATTTTTTTTTTTTTTTTGCAGTTTATTCTTTAAAGCAGAACTTCACCCAAAAGGGAAAGTTTCACTTGTTTGCATCCCCTTCCCCCTCCACTGCCTCATTTGGCACTTTATAGGGGGACGAGTACCTAGTTTTGACAGGTACCCGCTCCCACTTCCAGGTTTAGATCGCTCCTCCTCCTCCCTGCAGTTTTCTAGGATGCATCACGGATCCCAGAAGACTGCAGGAACATTCGCAAAGCACAGCACAGCTTGTTCATATGCAGTACAAAACCGTAACTAACAAAAAGTTTGCTGCACAGCATTTAGACAAGCCTGTGAAATACTGGGAGAATATATAGTCTGGTCAGATGAGTCCAAAATTGAACTCTTTGGATGCCATAATACCATGTTTGGAGGGCAAATCACCCCCAAAACACCATACCAACAGTGAAGTTTGAAGGGGGGAACATCATGGTGGTCCACTACCGCCTCCACGTGAATTCAAAACTCACTGGAACTGATGGCTGCCATTACAAGAGCGTAAGCACCCATGTGTCATATTAGAATCCCAGTGTGTATATGTTGTTGCCCAGCAGCTGCATCCACAGGTACCTCTAGGTAAATCAAGATAGATAAAAGGTAGGACAGTGGCACTCAGGGAGTCAGACTAGCAAGGGGAATAATGCTGGAGGATCAATGATCCAAAATGTCCATATGTATGAAAGAAGGAGAGTCCATAATCCATATAAAGTATATTAATAGTTCAAGTAGTTCTTAGGACCACTTAAAATGAAAGCAGCCAGCTTGTTAGAATATAAACTTTTCTGTATAAGGCAAGAAGGAGTTTATAACTGATCATCTGAGTTCGTCATATATTGTCTCTCTTGTCCTTGTGGCCTATTGTGTGTAGGAAGAACTATTAGAACTTTGCAGAAAAGGTTCGGAAAGCATAGACGGTCTGTGGAGGAAGGCGTCGATGAACTCAGTGTCTCAAAACATTTCTCTGAATACCACCACAAACCCTCTGCTGACCTCCAAGTCTGGGTTGTAGAGACCATACCCAAGAGTTACCCAAGGGCAGAGTATATCCGATGTCTCTGCAGTAGGGAAATGTATTCTATACTCTGGACACCATGGCCCCTGGGGAAATGAAGGAAGTCTTGGAGGTTCATTCTATCCTGTAACACCTAACCCACTATAATGGTGAGGTTGATTTAAGATACCCCCCCCCCCCTTTACGTATATCTCCTTACTAGCTTATACATAAAAATGTATACTATCACCCCACAGAAACTCTTTACTACCATTTTTGGTTGAAAAAAAGAACGTTATTAAGAATTCAATATTCATGTCACTGGTTATTGCTATAGCACATATTATGTCTGTCTCTTACCTCATTTTAATATTCACCTCTTTTTTTTTTGGGAAAATACTATTTATTGTTTTCTTAGTTGTACAGTACAAAAGCATACAAAGAAAAATCCCAGGGTCCCAAACCCAGCCTATCTATACAAAGACAACCTAACTATGACCCACCATTCCTCCACTCTCCCCAATCCCCCCTTCCCGTGCAACCACCCTCCATTTTCAGACAATAACATAAACAGTCCACTGTGGAGCAAAAAGACACACAATCAAAGAACTATAGGACTATAGCCTATATAGGCCGCAAGGTACCCTTCCAGCAGAAGATCATATAACCTGATTGTAACCCCAATAAGATCCTTCCTCAGAACAGCAAGCAGGCAATCAAAAGTACATTACTCAGGGACATGTAAACCACCTCAATTTATTTAATAGGAAGGCCTCATCCTGCAGTAGACATGTCCGCCAACCAGCACTGCAAAACCTTATCAAATTTCCATGGGCATCCCGTATGTAAATATGTGGCCTTGTATAGGGGCAAAGATTTATTAATGATACCCTTCTAAAATGACATAGATGGGGCTTCAGGTTTTTTCCAATAGTATAATATAGAGAAATATAGATATGTGGGCATAAAACAAAGTAACAGACAAGAATGTCCTCTATGCTCTAAGTGGGGCTATTTCCTTGACCATCCCCAGAAAGCATGCTGACATTGTTAATGGTACCTGTAGAAACATAAGCTCCTGTATAGTGCGGATGACCACCATCCAGAAATTCTGTATTATCAAACGGTGCCAAAAAATATGATCGAAGTCTGCAGCTGATGCTGTACACCTTCATCTCTGCTGAGGAGGTCCCATAAATCCTGGCTAACCTAGCCGGAGTATAATAAAAATCCTGCGCAGGAGCTTAACTTGGATGAGACAATCCCTGACCGAAACTAGTGCTTTTGAATGGTACCTCTCACGTATCATCCTAATCATCTCCCTGATAATTAGAAATAAGGGCCATCCAAGTTTCCCTGCATTTACTGACAGGTTTAGGACAAGTCACAAGCAATTTCTTATATACCTCTGAGACTGTCTTAGTTGTAGATTCATCACTCAGAAGTTGCTCTAAACTAGAAGATTGAATGACCAAGGTGACTGACGCAGACTGGATGTCAAAAGTATGCCACAGTTGATATTGGAACAGATATCAAGTAGATTGAATTTAGATTTTAAGTGATCAAAAGTACACAATTTCCCTTTTTCCACTATGTCCTCCAACCGTTTAACCCCAACTCTAGCCCAGTATGTTGCTGAAATGGAGAAACCGGGGGTAGAACCAGAATGGGGAAGAGGGGGAGTTGCAGAACCCATCAAGTTGCATGATCACCTGCACTCTATCCCAGCCCGGAAAGTTGCATACATAGAACCTTTCAAGGGTAGAGCCCCTGTATACCAGATTGGAGAGACTCTCACATGACCCCAGGATAGCAGCTTCCCAAATTGTGGCAGCATTTTCAGCATCTAAGCAACTACCATCTGGCAAACATCATGTGACCTACTAAGAAATATAAAGATCTGGCAATGCCAACCAACCCTGACCTGATGATTCCTGTAAGGTACATATATATGTATCCTAGGGCGTGAAGAGAGCCACAGAAAAGAATTAAAGAGACTGTTCATTCGTTTTAAAAAATGCCCGGGGTACCCAAATTGGTGAGTTTCTAAGAAAATACAAAAAGACCGGGAGTATCTTCATTTTAATGAGGTCGACTCTGCCTATCAAGGATAAGGGTAAATGCTTCTGTCAGGGCTCCCAGGTGTGACCAGAGGTGTGTGACTGACACAGGGAAACGCAGACTTCAGATATGTGATAAACAATATAATTTATTTAACACTAACCATACAAACATAAACGCAGTGCAATACTAAAACATAATACAGTGCAAACAAACCAAACCAACCACCCACAGATAACAGTACATACAAGCAAGCGTCGTCAGGCAGGCCGGATCAATAGGGCAGGTAGGTACAGGGGGAGCAAGCGGAGATGGGTCGGGGTCACAGGCCAGGTTCAGCAGGTAGCTAGCAGCGTAGTACAGAGGGTGCAGGCAGAGGGATGGTCAGGGTCACAAGCCAGGGATCAGAACAGGTAGCAAGCAGCGTGGTACAGAGGGTCAGGCAGAGGGATGGTCAGGAGCGAGCCGGGATCAGAGCAGGAGAAGTCAGCAGCGGTTCAGATCAGGCAGGGTCAGCAAAGGAACAGAAACAGGATGCAGGACAGATACAGGGCCCAGGACAAACACAACACCAAGGCAGAGTCTGCAAGTCTGGCCATCCCTTAAATACACCAGTATCATCAGTTCCAGGTGTTAGCTGGCTGAAAGGTTGAGTCTCTGATTGCTGGGAGCACCCGCTGGCCAGCCCTGGTACTGCAGATCAAAAGGCAGGTGAGTCCCACCATTGCTGGCCAGTCCCATTCCTGACAGTACCCCCCCCTCAAGGAGCGGCCTCAGGACGCTCCAAACAGTCCTAGCTGGGCAAAATGTTCCACCGCCCGGGGTCTGGTAACTGGCGGGATATCAAAGACTGGCACACCGGGCAGGACTCCGGGCAGCGGCACACCGGGCTGGACTCCGGCAGAGGCACATCGGGCTGGACTCCGGGCAGAGGCACATCGGGCTGGACTCCGGGCAGAGGCA